ACTGGTTGCGATGCTGATTGTGATGCTGGTTGTTGATTTGCTGTTTGAACAACATCATTTGTGGCCAAAGGATTAGAGGAAGAAGAAGAAGAAGAAGAAGATTGAGAGTGAAGATAATGTTGTTGATATAATTTCCATTTACCACCACAAATAGGACAAGCGATTGACCATCTATCAGACCAAAACAAAGAAGTACGTAATACAACAGTAACTCTATGGCATCTAACACATTTTTTATAAGGTTTGTCAATTCTTGGAGCAATTGGGATTCTAGTTACAATATCATGAACAATACCCATATATTCGGAACTCTTTGGGAAATATTTAAAGTTTACAGTTGTATCTGTATTTTGATTTGTAGTAATTGGATTTTGATCTAAAAAACCATCTAATGGTGGATCCAAATCTAAAATCGAAAATGAAGCGTTGATAGATATATCATTTGTATCTTGGGCAACAGATTGAGGAATAATTGTTTCGAATCTTTTCATAACTTCTATTAGGGATACCATTTGTGAACCTTTACATTCAATAGATGGGAGTGAAACAATTTGATTAATTTTATCTTGGCTTATTAATAAATAATAATTATCTAAATAATTTTCAACTTGGATAAATTGTTCTAAAATAAAAAAAATTAATATTTTAGGAATAAATTATTATATTGTTATTATTATTTATCTTACCTGGAGAGACTATTTGTTTTGTTAATGCTTTTATAATTTTTGTAAATATATCTAAAAAAATTGAAATTTCTGATTCATCCTTAAATTTAACCTTTTGTGTTTGGGTATATGGTGTTTTAACTTTATATAATTTGCTGTAATTCATTAATTCAAATAATACAAATAATAAGTTGAAATCAAATAATAAACTGATCTATTTTTTTAAAAATAAAAAAAAAATTATAAGTAAATTAAAAATAAAAATACAATAATATAAATAATAATTTATACTTACAACTGGAAAACCAAAATTTCCTTTGGTTTCGACATAATAGAATGGGAAATAATGTTTCAAAGGCAAATCTTGCATACTTTCGGGAATTTGAACATTAATTTCATCTTTTTTGGCATAAACAAAAGAGAAATAAAACAAGTTCTTTAAAAAGAATTGACCAAATTCTATTACCCAATCAATTAAAATTACAATATTTTCACGATCTTTGATAGCTGTTTCTTGTGAAAGTGGTCCATAAGATGATTTGAGAGTATCACAAAGGTAATGAATGAATGATTTAGCTTGACTGTCAACGAATGCAACTTCCATTCCAGAAACAATTCTATAAATTGAGGACTTTATTGAATCGAAAACATTTCGGTATAAAACTTGAAATTCGTTTGGTAACGATGAGAAATCACTTGATAAGTGTATAATAGTATGATGAAAGGTAGTACGTGTATCTATAGCGGTAGAGTAAATCTTTAAAAGAATTAAAATATCCCACCAGTCATTGCTCTTGACCATCGAGTTTTGGAAAAGCTGAGCCAACCATTTTGAAACCACTTTTTGACTGTCTAACGATGTACCAATAGACTGAATTGGTAATGCTAAAACCTTAACCCTTAAATCACTTGTCAATAGTGCAACCAAACCTCCATTGGGTGATGAACAAATTGATAAATTTAAGCTACTATCATTATTACTAAAATTACTATTGTTATTGCTATTGTTACCTGTATTTTGATTAACATTTGAATGATCATTTGAGATAATTGTTTCATTATTTAATTTAATTTCATCTTCTTTTGTTAAAACTGATATTGATTCGAATGTTAATCTATCAACAATTTCAACTGAACCATTTGAATGATTTAACCAAAGGAAACCAGATTGGTGAGAATGAATGATGAAATACTGAATAGTTTTGATGAGCATATCTTGGATTATTTGCATTTCATTGGAAGTCATGGTGTTTAAAAAATCGGATGAAGGCATTCCCACTCTCAATTACGGTTGACCCTAGTGTTGGTTTTGGTGCTTCATAAGCATTGTTAACTGACAAAAGTAATTCGAATATTGGTATTTGTGGTGAATCTGAAATCACTTTTTTATCCCATCTATATAGTGCCGATGAATTTACACCTTTCATTAATGCTATAATAGAGTTTTGCGAATTATCGAATTGAATTGCACTAATCTTAAAACTTAATGATTTATAACTATCATCCTCCATGTCACCATCCTGTTGCTGTTGATCTTCTTGATTTTCGAATATATTATTATTTATTAAAATTTTATCTCTTTGAATAATATTAATTTCTAAAAAAAAAAAAATTAAAAAATATTAATATTAAAATAGTATTATATATTAAATAATAAACATACCATTTGAATGAACATTGAATGTGACATGATAAAAAACAATGGAAAAACCAATATCTTTTGAATAAATTGCTATCATCACGGAATCATCATCTTGAGTTGGTATAACATCAGCAGAATCAATTGAATGATAAAATGGTAATGGTATTTGCCCAATAATATATTTCCATATATTTTCAAAAATACTAAAATAACCAATATATACCTAATATAAAACAAATAAGTTAATACCAAGTTATAAATATTATTATAAGTAAATACTATATTATATTATACCAACCTTTCCATCCTTTGTTAAACTTATAAATGTTGGTGATAAATTAGCAGTATTTTTATCAGTTGTTAAAGATTCGAATGGTGATTTAAATTGAGTATTGCTACTATTCATGCCATTGCTGCTGGAAGTACCATTGGGTTGTTGTGGTGGTGGTGGTGGTTGATTTTTTAAATTAAATGGGTTAAAAATTGGTGAGTATGAAGAAAGAACTGGTAACCATTTTGATAATAATAAATATTGAAATGGAAAAGATTGAATACAAGTCCATTCATCCGAAGAATTATCTTTTGATTTCCATAGACATAATTTATCTGATTGATCATAAGACATTAAAATATGAAATGGTGATTGTGTTGACCATTCTAAACTCTTTATAGTATTGGTATGTGATGTTTTAATTACAATATACTCGTGGGGGAACTCTGGTCTAACAATATATATATTTTGTTGCTCTTGTTTGATGTATTGATTTTTATTTAAGTTCATAGTGAAAGCAATTTGATTATCGATGGACCAACTTATCAACTGATAACTATTATCGTCATTATTATAATTTTGCTGAATTGAATTGTAATCCACTTTGGTTGTTAAACAATTTAGCTGTTTAATGATATTACTAAACTGCTGATTATTATTATTATTATTTATATTTTTATTTGTTGTTGATGTTATCATACAGTCATCATCATTATCACTACTCTGGTCACTATTCGTGTCATAGTAAAAACTATTTGTTGATGGATCGTAATGTTTTAATAAATCCACATTCATTGATCTATCATATATTGTAGATAATGATGTAGGATATTGAAATGTTGATCCTTGATCATAAAAATCTTCGGATACACCCTCTAATATCTTTAAAACCCATACTGATTCAATCATTTATTTATTTATTATTAATTTAATATGTATTTATTCCTCTTTTATTTGTGTTTATTCTTATTTTTATGATGAAATAAATATTTAAATAAATTTATATGTAAAAATTAAAAAAAAATAAATTAAAAAAGATGAAAATTTAAAAAAAAAAAAAAAAAAAAAATTAAAAAAATAAAATTATAAAAATAATTTAAAAAAAAAAAAAATATATATATATATTATCATTATTCATTAATTTAAAACCGGGAACCATTCCTTATCTTTTAATTTACATTTATTTTTTCTATAGAACTCAATGTAATCCCCAAGTGAATAATGAAATATAAAAAATAAATAAAAAAAAAAATAAAAAAAACTATTTTAATAAATGGGATGTTTAGCTAAATATAGGTATTATATGTATATATTATAAATAAATAAATACAGATATTTAGAAAATGTTTATTTCCAACTGAAAAAAAAAAAAAAATTAATTTTTAATTTTTTTTTTTTTTTTTTTTTTAATTTTTTTTTTTTTCGTTTTTTCATTAGCATCAATAAAAATAATCTTTTTACTCTCTCCAAGGATTACTTATTAAAAAAAAATGTTTGGTGGTATCATTAGAGCTTTTTCAAACTCTGGATCAGTTAATTCAATTAACAGATTTGCAAATAAAAATGCCCAAAGTTTTTTAAACTCAATGGTCAACGATAAAAGTATGTATATCAATAAATCGATTAATGGTTGACTAATAATTCTTATAGATATATATATTAATAAAAATTTTTTTTTTTATCAATTAAAAAAGAGTTTTTTAGTACCAATAATGATTCAAAACCAAAATTAAGAAATATTTTAAAGAGATTTTATTTAATGGTCCATCCAGATACATTAACATCATATCCAAAAGAAAAAAGCGTAAATTCACATAATATGAAGTTATTTATGTCTATTTTCGACCAATATAAAAAGAGACCATCACCAGATCCAAACACCAAACCAATAGTTCATAATTTATCATTTTATATCCCAGAGAATGACGTTGAAACAACCAAACCAATCCCAGGTAAATTTAAGATGATAGATATCGAGTTGATTCAAAATTGTAATAATCCATCACACATTCCAAACCAAATTAGATTATTATTTGAAAAATGTTCACTTCCAACCGACTTTATAACAGAGATTGAAATGGTAGATAACGTCAAATTACCAAGTATCGATACTTCACTCAGACAATTCCTTTTAGATAACAAGCTTTTCATTCATCAACTTTTAAAGAATGGTGAAAAACAAAAAACAGAATTAGATCATATTGTAAAGAGATTAAGAAAAGATTTGAAAGTTGATATTCAATTAACTACCAACCCAATCGATTCAGGTTTTACCTATCACGAAAACCTTCAAGCACTCGAACTCTTCCAAGAGGTCTACAGAAATTGGAGCCAACAAGTTTTACAAAAAAATACACCAGGCTCTGAATTGGTTAGAAAGAATATGTTAAAATACAACTTGGACTACACTGAAACCAATTTCACCTCTGGTGACTCTATTGTTTATTTAGATCGTTCATCAACAGAAACCTGGGAATCCTATTTAAAGAATTTAGATTTAGATCGTTTAAAGAATGAAATCGATGAAGAAAGAGCCAAAATAATGGAAAATCTAAAGAAACTTAATCAAGATAGAACCGAATTCAATAAAAATATTCCAATTTTAACCAAATTATTAAAAGTTCGTTCAATTCAATATAACGAACACGACGACCCAACTGAAGATCCAAAACTTTATATTGAACCAACCGAACAAATGGCTGAAACTTTAAAATTCTCAAATATGTTATTAAAAAGAAAAAGCGAAATTGAAAATTTAATGAAAACAAGGTAAAATTTATATATGGTTATTTTAAAAAAAAAAAAAAAAACAACTTTTTATTAACCATTGTTCGTTTTTATATTTAGATTTAAAAAAATCAGAACAAGTTTCAATTTACTTATTACACCAAATTTACACAGATCAAGATATTTAATTGATATTGATGGTTCATTAAAAGTTAATCCAAACATTAGCTTTGAAGAGTTTATGAATCTTTTAGAAAGCCATTCAGGATTAGCCATTGAACAAGCTAAATTATCAGATAGATTCGAATCAGTAAGAGATTATGCTCAAGTTCGTATGGGTTTAAAGAATTTAACTTGTTTAAGTTCATTTGCCTACACCTATGGTCCAATTAAAGTTTTCGAAGCCTACCAAAAACTTGCAGATTCTTCCGACCGTCTTCGTGATATTGGTTTAAGTGGTTTTACAATTGTTATTGGTGATTACTATAGTGTCAATAGAAGTGGTGAAATTATCTTAAAATACGATTTTAATACTGAAGATTTAATTAAACAATTAACAGCTCCAAGTGAAGAACAACCATCCGAGCAACAAATCGATACCGAAAAAAAAGTTGAAGAAATTACTTTTAATATGGATCAACTTTCAAATGTTATTAATGAATATGAAAAAACCAATAAATCTTTATAGATAATAACAAAATAAATAAAACTAAACCATTGCTGTATCTTTTTTTTTTTAAAAATAATTTTTTTAATCCACGAAAGAGCAAACCTGTATCATTTAATTTTATTTTATTTTATTTAATTTTTTATTCGAAATATTTTTGATATTGTTTATCGTTCTTATGATGATAATGTACAGCTGTACCATTTGGTTGCGCAACAAAAGCTTGGGTACCTAATTATTTTAAAAAAAAAATTAATAAAATTAATATGATATTTAAATTAGAAATATATATTAAAAATAACATACCAAGGAAAATTTTACCACAAATGGGACATGAAAGATCTTCTGTAATCTTTATGGCACCAGATCTTAATTGTGATAGTTCATCTTTGATTTTAAAATTTTCGGATTTAAATAAATTTTTTACAACTTGATTATCTCTTTTTGTTTTTGTGTTATCTCTAATTACAGCTTCAAAAAATGGATATAGTTTTTCGATTGGAGTATTTAATGGTAGTAAATTTAAAGCTTTTGGTGTATTAATTGATCTATAATGTTTGTTTAATAATTCTAATGCTGGTTCTAATAATGGTTCTGATTGACCGTCTGGTTTTAAATAGACATTCAAGAGAGAAAGATAGACATCTCTACTTTCTTCTGAATCTTTGTTATAATGACGATCACAATATTCTTCTGCCATTTGATAGTTTTTTAATTTATGAGCATAGATGGTAAGTGCTTGTTCATGTCGACCAATTTTAGATAAAAGTATAGCTCTTTCTTCAAAGAGGTCATCAATTGGGAAAATTGAAAGCATTTTTTCTGGTAAATAGCATTTTGAAGTTTGAAGGAATTGAATAAGTCTATTACGGAGTGGGCCCAATGGTGCTGGCTCAGAGCCTGCTGGTATTGCACCAGGTTTTCTTGTTGTTCCTTGTTGTTTCATTATATTAATTTGATCGGTAATTGCACCTAAATATTCAAAAGCTAATTGATTGTGGTAATCTGGATTTTTGTTTGGTCCTACTGGGTCATTGATAATATGTTCTAAATATGGTCTTAATAATAATGGTGCATATTGTCTTAAGTGGGGTATAACTTCTTCAGGTGCCAAAGGTTCTTTACGATCGGTTGTAAAAATTGCTAAAGCTTCGTTTGGACTCTTTTGAAGTACCCATTTAGAATTATCCAAAATGATATTTATATGTTTTTCACCCAAATGACAAAGATAGGCGATTGTATCGTTTGGATTGTTATTATTTGTTTTTGCTAATAAAGTTAAGGCTTTTCTATGTAAATCTTTGGATTTGTAAAATAAAATTAACTCGGTTGTTTTCTTCTCTTCTAAAAGTACACGTTCAGATTCCTCTACATGACAATGATTCTTTAGATGGAAAAAATGTGGAATCAACGATGGTTTATGTTTGATGTAAACTTTTAATAATGTAGTATCTACCAACTCTTGTAATGTATAACCTGAATTTAAAAGTTCTGGTGGTGATTGATATTCGATTTTATTCTTTCTAAACTCAACTAAATAATGCTCCAACTCTGGCAAAGCACGTGGATTATTTTCTATATCACGAATATGAATTGGAATTGAAAGTTTATCTTGAAGATGACGCGGTAATAAACCTGGATATAAAGAGATGATTTTTAATGGATCAACTTGTGCACTAATAAAGTATCCCATAGCAGTTTGAAATTGTTCTTTTTGGAATAAATGATAGGCTGCTGAAGTTTTGATTTTAATTAATCTTTCTTTTAGATGTGGTATATTTTCTTGGGTAGTTTGTAATAAATTGATTGCTGTTTCATACTCTAATTTTGTCACCATTTGGTCAACTAACTCTAAAATTGGGTGTGGTAAAATTCTCCAAACACCTGAAGGTGAGGAAACATAAATATCTTTTTTAGCACTAATTGATTTACAACCTTGAAGAAACATTGATTGTGATATAGTTTTAGGATCATTTGGGTCTGGTAAAATTTGAATTTCAATAAGTCTTCCCTCAACCGCAATTGCAAATGGTTCATAAATTACCATTGAACTTGGTGCATCCATCCATGTCATTGAATGTCTTCTAACTGGACTACCACCTGTATTTATAAAAAATGACATATCTAAAATAAACAAAATAAATTGGTTAATATTAAAGCTATTAAAATTTGTATTATTATTATTATTATTATTATTATTATTATTATTATTATTATTATTATTATTATTATTATTATTATTATTATTATTATTATTATTATTTCACTTACTTCCTCTAACCATTAAAAATTCATTATTTTGTAAAAATGTTGTAAAAGTTAATTTATCGGCATCTACATTTGTTACTGATCCATCACTAGTGTTTATAATATTATAAGCTTTTTTAAAGCAAACTACAATATAATTTCCACGATAATCGATGTTTTTTGCAAGATCTGGCATATTAAATTCTTTTTGTTCATAAAAATCGGATCCATCCCATGCATATAATACTAATTTCTTTTTGACTGCTGCTACTAAACTTAATGATAACCCTGGTTGATAACTAACTGCATATGCAGAACATCCTCTTGCTTTTTGTAATAATGAACTTTCACCAACTTGTGACATTAAATCATGAATTCTTAAATCACCATCCGATAAAGTTACAATTTTATTGAAATCGTCAAAAACAGTTATTTGAGAAATTGGTTTTTTTGAAATTTGTCTTGTTTCTCTAATTTTAACTGATACTAAATATAAACAATAATGATTTTTATTAAAAAACAGTGAAGATAGGGTTAATATTATTTTAAAACCAATATCAACAATTGTTTAATCTATTTTACATACCTTGAATATTCCCATTGTGATCCTTTGTTTCATACACAAAATAAGTTAGCAAATAACCCTCTGTTGTACCAATCACTAGAAACTTTTCCCCCTTGCATTCCCATGAGTCAATACATTCTATTCTTTGTGTAAGCTTGTCTAAAATGCTTTGAGATACAAATGCATTCATATCCACTCTGTTCATTTTATTCTCTATATATTATATTTTTATTAATTTATTAATAAAAATATTAAAAAAAGTAATAACACAAAGATGATATATTTAAACTATGAGAAAATTAAATAAATATATAAAAAAACTAAATAAAGATATTTTATATACAAAAAAAAAAAAAAAAAATTTTTAAAAATTTTTAAAAATTTTTTTTTTTTTTTTTTTTTTTTTTTTTTAATTTTTTTTTTTTTTTTTAATTTTAAAAAAAAATTTTTAAATTTTTCAAAAGCATCTTCAAATTATAATTTTAAAATAAAAAAAAGGTGATAGAATTCCTTTTATATCTATTACTTTCTGTAAAATAATTTTTAATAATAATCATAAAATAAATAGATATCAATAATATAAAAATGGATACATTATTAGAATTACCATTCAAATTTGTCAAGGTACCAAAAATGAGATTAAAGGTACCAAATATCAGCAAACCTTCACCAATGGTCGTATTTTCAATTATTTTCTTCACCTATTTCTTAGTATCAAGTGGTATTATTTACGATCTTATTATCGAACCACCCTCAATTGGTTATCAACCAGATGAACGTGGTCATGCCCGTCCAACAGTATTCCAAATGTATCGTATCAACGCTCAATATATTATCGAAGGTCTTTCTGCCGGTTTCATCTTTTTATTAGGTGCTTTAGGTTATATTATTTTAGATTTAAATTCAAAGAAAAACAACTCTTACGTTTTTGCTGTTGGTTTAGCTTTAATTGTAGCATCTTATAATATTGCAATTGTTTTCATTCGTATGAAAATTCCAGGTTATAACCCAATCAGTATTTATTAAAAATTTTAAAAAATCTAGATATAGAAAAAAGAAATATAATAATAATCATAATTATCTAAAAAAAATAAAAATAAAATCATTGTATACATTTTTTAATAATATACTGGTATTGGTATACTATTTCCTTTTTTAAATTAATTTATAATTTTATTATATTAACCTATAAACATTAAAAAATAAAATAAAATAATAAATTTTTAATTTTTAACATTTACCTTTTTGCTATTCACAATAATAATAATAGTGTTATAAAATGAATAATAAAAACAATAATAATTTTGTTGATATTTTAAATAAGGAAAATCAATTTTTAAGAAATAAAAACCAAACATTAAATGATCAAAACACATCGCTATATAAGATAATTCACGATATGAAAGAGTTGATGATTAAATTTAATAATTTCCCAAAGGTAATCAAATATTATGAAAATGAGCTAAAAGAAAAAAATAATGAAATTGTAGATATAAAAAAGGTAAGATTAATAAAAAATCAACTTTTTGTTTTCCTTCTTTATTAATAACAAATATTTTTTTTATTTATTAGAAATCAGATGAAGAATTTAATGCATTAAACAACTCTATTAATAAACAAATAGAATATGATAATATTGAAAAAAAGAACAAGGAAGATATTATAGAAGGTTTAAAGAAAACAGTTCAAGAAATTGAAAATCAAAAATATATAGATTCAAATGAATATGAAAATCAATTAATAGATTTAAAATCTAAAATCAAAATTTGTAAAATATTTTATTTTTTTTATAAACTAATATAATAACAATTAATTATTAATTTTTTTTATTTTTTAATTTAGTTTTAGAAAAAGAAAAAGAATATATAAAAATAGAATCAGATTTAAAATCAGAAAAGGAATGGATCATTAATACTAAAAACAATGAAATCCTAATTGCCCAAAATTCTGTATGTATATTAATAATAATTTAAATTAAAACAAAATACTAACAAATTTCGGAAACTCTAGAAAAAAGATATCGAAAAACAATTAAATGAAATTACAAGAGAGAATGAAATGTTAAAAAAACAAATTTTAAATTATCAACAAACAATAAAAAATACACAACAACAAATACAACAACGCCCAACTGGTAATATTTCATATTTAAATATTTCGCCATCCTCCTCTACCTCGTCAACCAATGATGAGTATCAATCGAAATCCAACATCCCAGCAAATAATACATCGTCCACTTCCTCAAACCATCTATCTCTACCCAATAATAAAAAATCAATTTCAATTACTAGAAAATCAAATTGGTAATATGTACAGATAAAATGAAATAAAACGAAAAACAATAAATAAAATAATAAATATAGTTCTATAGTTAATATAATACAATTTTTTTTGTTATTTATTTAATATTGAAATTTGTTCCATAGCTTTTTTTTTTTTTTGGATTATTATAAATTATTGTTACTATTTAATATATCTGTGTACAATCGATAAAAATGGTGAAAGGATAAATTGGTAAATTGATATGTGTAATATTGATTATTGCTTATTCTGATTGAACAGTCTTGAAGCTTGCTTCTAAATAATCGACTTGTCTATCTAAAGTTGTTAACTTCTCATTAAGTTCTGCTAATTTATTTTTAGTGGCTAAATCTAAAGATGATTTATGTTTAAAAAAAAAAAAATTAATATCTATTTTTGTGTCTATTATATCTCTATATAGTTTTTAAAATAATATTTACCAAATTTATTTAAGAAATCAATAATTTTTTGGATATTTATACTCATATCCTCAACAAATTCTCTTTGTTCCCAATCTTTTTGAATATTAGTCTTTGACATTTTTGAATATATATAGAAAATTTATGTGTATAGAAAGTAAAAAATGATATGAAAAAAGATAATTTAAAAAAATTTAAAAAAAAAAAAAAAATTTTAAAAATTAAAAAAAAAAATATTTTATTTTATTTTTTTATTTTTTTTTTTTAAAATTATTTATTTTTAATTATCCATTTATTTTTCTTTTCTTCTTTGATTTATATTTTAAATAATATCTATCAAATGATAATTATTATAAAAAAGAATATTCTTTTTAAATAATAATAATAAATAATAATAATAGCAATAATAAATAAAAAATTGTAGAGCGATAATAACAATAATGAAATTTAAAGAAAAATGGCTGAAACAGAAGAAGAATTAAAAGAAAAGATAATAAGATTAAATAATTTAATAGCCATAAAAAAAACACAGCAAGAGCAAGAGAAATCACAACCCCAAAAACAACAAAATATTATACAGCAACCACAACACCAACCCCAACATAAACCGATTTTTAATAAACTCCCAATACTTAAACAAAAACCAATTATTAAAACTGGAAGTGTCGTATTTAATAAACCTGCAAGCACCTTACCCACACCACCAAAACCCTCGACCCCTGCTATTAAAACTGGAAGCGTATTTATTAATAAAAATATAACATCCCCACCAATACCGAAACCACCAGCACCACCAAAAAGACCCTTTATCAAAACTGGAAGTATTGTATTTAACAAATCTACAAATATTACAGCATCAACATCACCAATACCGATTAAAACTGGAAGTGTTGTATTCAATAAAACTACACCAGCTTCACCAAAACCCTCAACCCCCACTATTAAAACTGGGAGCGTTATATTCAACAAAGCTGCTCCATTAACACCTCCATCTGTAAATATTAATAAACCCCCTCCACCCCAAACAAAATCAATTCAACAAAATGTAATCTTTAGTGGATATAGACCAAATTTAAACACCAAACCGTTAGGCTTTAAAAAACCAATTTTAACACGACCCATATTATATTCAACTTTTAAAAAACCTTTATCAAGTTTATCGATTTCAAGAATGTACAATAATAATATTAAAACAAACACTTTAAAAATTAGACAACAACAACAACAACAACAAAAACAAATACTTCTTTTAAAGAAATTACAAAACAAAAGATTAATAATGGATAAAATAAAAAAAGGAAATGCATATAACCCAAACTTTATCATAAATAAACCAAAAGTTATAGACTCAATATTCATTAAAAAAGGAAATAGTTTAGTTAGAAAGGAACTGGATGATAAATATGTTACAATAGGTAATAAACTAATTAGACAATCAAATGAAAGTGATAACAAGAATAATAATACCACTACCACCACCACTACCACCTCATTATCAATACCAAAAATAACTAGACAACCAATAAGAAAAATTATAAAATCACCACCACAATTTAATAACACTATACATAAAAATAATAATAAAAAAATTAGCGAAAAAATTAAAGAGGCAATTGAAAGAAAAAAGAAGATTGATAATTTAGAAAAGAAAAAGAAAAAAAAGAACTATTGTTTATTTTTTACACGTTTTGGAAAGTGTAACAAAGGAGAAAAATGCACATATGAACATGACCCACAAAGAGTTAGAGTTTGTACCAAATTTATATCGGCAAGTGGCTGCGACGATGTTGAATGTAAACTTAGACATCCAAAAGACTTAGATTATGAACAAATGCCAATTTGTCACATGTATTTAAGAGGTGTATGCATGAACGATCCATGTCCATATTTACATGTCAAATTTTCAAAAGATACCGAAATTTGTCCAGATTTCCTTTTGGGCTATTGTCCAAATGGATCAAAATGCAATCTTCAACATATTTATATAAATTCAAAAAAGAATTTCAAAGGTAACACACTATATGTAATAATTTACAATTTAAAAACAATATACTATATTAATATTAATAAATTTATTTAGATAACAATAACAGTACCGATAATGGTGATACCAAGATCCAAGAAAAAGAGACCCAAAATATTAAAAAAAGAAAAAAAAATGATATTGATGTAAGTAGTAACAGCAATCAAGACAATGATGGAAATGAAGAAAATGAAGAAAACGATGATGATGAAGACAACTCCTTTTTAATCTTAGGTCGACCAAACAAACGCCATTTTATAGATGGCGATCAACAATCATTTTTATTTTAATTTTTACATATATAAATTTTTTTTGATCAAACACTAAATCCAATAAATAAAATAGCTAAATTCATTTAAATTAAATTAATTTTCTTGTTTTTTTTTTGGGGATTTGAATTTAATAATTTAATAATCAATTTCGGTTTAAAAAAGTAAAAAAAAAAAATAAAATAAAAATTAAAATTAAAATAAGAAAAGTATTCAAATTTTTGAGTGGTCATTGGACCAGGGAATCGAGTACCTCGGCAAAAAAAAAAAAAAAAGAATGTAGGAAACTCGAAATTTTTTTAAAAAAATTTTAAATTTTAAAATATTAATACTATTATCATTCAGAACCATTATTGTTAAATACTATTATAATTATTATAATTAACAGTAAGAGTGTAAAAGTAGTAATTTTTTATATCCAAAAAATATAGTGTGTTTTATATATGTTGTGTGTGTATCATTTAGTGTGGGAAGTGGGAAAAAAAATAAAATAAATAAAATAAAAATAATATTTATTTTTAATTTTAAAACAAAAAAAAAAAAAAAAAAATGAATATTTTGGTGTGAAATTTGGTTCGTTAATAATATTTAAAATAACAAACAAATATTTTATTTTCTTTATTTAATTGTTAATAATAATTTTTTATAAAGGTTTATTTATTTAAACTATTCGATTTCAATAAAAAATAGAGAATAAACAAAAAATATAAACACAATAGTAAATAATTTAAAATGTGCTTGTAGATTAATGTTGTTGTTGTTGTTTTTTTTTTTTGTTTTTGTTTTTGTTATCTCTAAAAATAATTATAAAAAATTAATAATTAAATATTTTTATTTTATTTTATTTTATTTTATTTTTTAACATATCATTTATTTTTATATTTTTGTTAATAATATTTAATATTTTAAAATATTAATAATAATAATAATAATAAAAGAATTTAATTTAAAATTATACTAATTAAACTTTTGTAAAAAAAAAAATATATATATAATATATTTTTACAATTTAATATTAAATTTAAATTTAAATATAAAATATATACATTCATTATAATATATATTATAGGAAGAGTTTTAGGTGATTAGAAGACCCCATTCTAAAAGGCTAGAGTTTTTCTATTGGTTAATCAAAAATTGTGTTTTTTTTTTTTTAAATTTTTGGTTAATTTTTTTAAAATTTTTTTTCATATAATTTTCATTAATCAATATTAATTTATTGTAAGTATAGATTATTTATTAAACATATAGCAATAATTAAAAAATAAAAAATAAAAATATTATAGAAAATAAATATCTTCCTAACAATTAGAGCCTTTACTAACTTTTTTTTTCGTTTATTTCAATTTTTTTTAATTTTTTTTTTTTTTATAAATTTTTTTTTAAATCAAATTTTTAATTTTTTTTTTATTTTTTTATTTTGTTTTTTATATATATTTATATATATCTTATATCCTTTTCGTATTTAATTTTTGGTATTGTTTTTTTTTTTTATATTCATTTTTAGCGTTTTTTAGGGACAAAGAAAAAAATAAAAAAAAACAATAAAAAAAAAAAACAATGGTGAGCGACAATAAAAAAACAAAAATAGACAAATCAGAGAAAAGCAAATTCAATCGTGTTGTTAGAGACCCAAATGATCCATTAGAAATCGATTATATGAGAGGTTACCAAACCACTGCCTCATCAAATATATTATATTTTGCTTCAATCTTTTTCACAGCAGGTAAATATCATCAATCATATAGGAGAAATCATAGGAAATAGAAAAATAAAAAAATAAAATAAAAACTAAATAAACAGAAAAATAAACAAGGAAAATAAATACCAAAAAAAAAAACCAACAGTCTCGGAAATAAATAATAAATTATAGAAATAATAATAATTAATATAAATTTCAAAAAATTCAAAAAAATTCAAAAAAATTTCAAAAATAAATTAAAAATAGATTTTGCAAGAAATTGTATTAATAATTCATTTTATAATTATTTTCATAGGTTTAATATTATTAGTTTTCCATTGGGTACCAAGATGGGGTATTAAATTAAGATTTAAAGAAACAACTTTAAGTAACGCAAATTATGTTTATGTAAAATCAAACGATAAGAAATATGAATTATGTAAAGTTAATACTGTTTCAATTGGTAAAGAATTAGCAATTTCAGGTGTTGATAAAGTTGATAAATACATCGAATTTAAATTTACAAGATTATTTTATCAAATCGACAAGGATCTTTTCATCAGACCAGAAGCTAAAGTTATGTATAGTAGGGATGAGATTGCCGAGATCTCAAAAACAGGTTTAAGTTCAAGCGAGCATCGTAAAGGTCGTGATCTTTTTGGAGCCAATCTTATTAGTGTACCATTAAAATCAATTCCAGTATTATTATTAGACGAAGTATTACATCCATTCTTTATTTTCCAAATCTATTCAATTATTTTATGGTGTACCGAACAATATTACGTTTATGCAGGTGCAATTCTCTTCATTGCTTTGGTTTCAGCTGGTTTTACTCTTCGTGAAACACGTAATAATTTAATTCGTCTCAACGAAATTGCCACTTACAAATGTGATGTCAATGTTTTAAGAGATGGTCAATTCAAAATGGTTTCCTCCGATAGTTTAGTACCAGGTGATATTATCGAACTTTCAAAATCATTAATTTTACCATGCGATTTTTGTCTTTTAAGCGGTACAATCATTTTAAATGAATCTATGCTTACTGGTGAATCAATTCCAGTAACTAAATATTCATTAGAAGAATGTTCAGGTGACCAATTATCTGTAGATCCAAATGTCAATAAACGTTGTGCAATCTCTGGTGGTACTATGGTTGTTAAAACTCAAGCAAAGAATAAAGAATCTAAAATTTTAGCTATGGTTACCAAAACTAGTTGGTTAACCACCAAAGGTAGTTTAGTTTTATCCATGCTCTATCCAAAGGAATCCCACTTTAAATTCTTCCAACAATCAATTAAATTCCTTTTAGTTTTATGTTCAATCGCTTTAGTCGGTTTTGGTGTTAGTGTTTGGAGATTATTATTAGCAGGTAAAACTCACAGTGAAGTAGTTGTTGAGGCTTTAGATCTTATTACTATTGTTGTTCCACCAGCTCTTCCAATGGCTCAATCTGTAGGTACTGGTTTCTCAATTATTCGTTTAAAGGCCAAACAGATTTTCTGTATCTCACCACCAAGAGTTAGCATGGCTGGTAAAGTTGAGGTCTATTGTTTCGATAAAACTGGTACCCTTACCGAAGATGGTCTTGATTTAATGTGTGTTCTTCCATCAAATAAACAAAATTTCTCAGATGAAGTTGTTGATATCTCTCGTATGAATGGTCCATTATTTTTAACTATGGCAACCTGCCACACTTTAGCACATATCGACGGTAAAGTAAGTGGTGATCCATTAGAAGAAAAGATTTTCGAAGCCACCAAAGCTGAACTCGATGATCACGATTCAAATGGTTATTGTGCTACTATTTCATTCAAAGAAAAATCAGTTAGAGGCGTTCAAGGTGAAATTGTTTATCCAATATGCACAAACGATGTTGAACAATCATCAGATATTGCATTAGTTGAAAGATTTGAATTCCAATCTGCTCTTCAAAGAATGAGCGTTGTAGTTAGAGGTATTAATAAACAAAATGGTCAAACAACATCCAAAGATTTAGCTATTGTCAAAGGTTCACCAGAAATGATTAAACGTTTATCAGTTCCAGAATCAATTCCATCAGATTTCGATCATATTCTCAGCAATTACACAAAGAAAGGTTATCGTGTTTTAGGTTGTGGTTATAAAGAATGGGACCCAACAAACTCAATTGGTAAAACTAAAGACGAAGTTAGATCACTCGTTGAAAGTGAACTTTATTTCACCGGTTTTGTTATTATGGAAAATAAAATTAAAGCTGAAACTCCAGGTGCTCTCAAGGTCTTAAAAGATGCAAATATTAGAATTATCATGGTTACTGGTGATAATGTTTTAACTGCAGTTAGTGTCTCTAGAGATTGTGGTCTCATCGAAAAAGATAAAACTATTTTCATGTCAGAACTCGTCAATGATTCAATTGATGGCCCAACCATTAAATGGACTGATGTAACCCACGCTGAGGGTACTATTCCATACCAATTGGATAGCGGTACATTAACTTGTGATGCAAACGATAACTTTTCCTTAGCTGTAACTGGTGACGTTTGGAAGGTCTTTTATGAAAAATATAAAGTTGCTGGTCCATCCATTAGTTTTAATCAAATTTTAAAGAAAGGTCAAGTATTTGCTCGTATGACTCCAGATCAAAAACAAAATCTTGTCGAAGAACTCCAAAATCTTAAATTATATGTTGGTATGTGTGGTGATGGTGCTAACGATTGTGGTGCATTAAAGGCTGCTCATGTTGGTATTTCTTTATCACTCGCCGAAGCTTCTATTGCTGCTCCATTCACTTCTACCATCACAAATGTCTCATGTACTCATAATCTTATTAGAGAAGGTCGTGCCTCATTAACTGTATCTTTCAAACTCTTCCAATTCATTGGTATGTACTCCTTAATTCAATTCAGTCAAGTTATTCTCCTATACTTTGATGGCTCTGTCTTAAACAATTATCAATACCTTTATCAAGATCTTTGGGTCATTTTCCCATTGGTAATTTTTATGGGTAGAACTGAACCATGTAACAAGTTAGCAAATAAGAGACCATCATCTCGTTTAATTAGTTCAACTGTAATTGGTAGTCTTTTAGGTCATGTCACTCTCACTTTTGTTTTCCAACTTATTGTTTACATTTTAGTAAGACGTAACTCATGGTATATTCATCCATCAGAACACAGTTTATCATCATATGAAGGTCCAAATGGAGTAGCCGAGGTTAGACTCGATGAACTTTTAGCATCCCTCTTTGTCTATGGTAATATCCAATATTCAATTATGTGTTTCATTTATTCCTGGGGTAAACCATTCCTTAAACCAATCTATACCAATTACACCTTCTTTATCTTCTTCATCATCACTCTCTCAACTTCATTACTTTTACTATTATTACACGTCAGAATTCACTTCTTTGGAACAACATGGTTAGTAGATTTAGACATAATTTGGAGGGTTAAACTTTTAGCTTTGGCAGTCGGTAATGCTATTGCCTCAATGTGTGTCGAAAGTATGATCATTGTTTACCGTCAAAAACGTTCAAAGGAAAAGAGAAAGAAGAAAGCTTTAATGGATTCAAACCCAGTTTTATTAGCAAAAAATACCATCAACAACCAATATACAAGCCTTAATTAATAAAAACTATAATATAAATGTTTAATTAAAATTAAAATATTTTTAAATTTTAATTATTTCATAACTAAAATAAAACCATTGGAGAAATAAAAAAAAAATTAAAAAAATTATTATAAAACATTAAAACTTTATACAGAATTCAGGTTTCTTCAATAATGTAATTGCTGTAAGGAATTCTTGAAAGAGAATATATTTAATGTAAAATAAATAGTTAATTTATTTCTTTATTTACAATTTATGGGTTAGTCTATACATGTTTCTTTTTTTTAATTTTAACAAAAAATATATATATATTTTTTTTTTTTTGGGAAAATTTTATTAATATTTTTTTGTTGTGCAAAAAAATTGTGATAAGGTACAAAAATATACTACTCCTTTTGAAAGTAGCAGTTTTATTATTTATTATTTATTATTTACTATTTATTATTTTTTAATTTTTGTTTCTTTATTTCTTAACAATTTGAATAACATCTTCATCTTCTAAAACGTGTGAAATACCAACCCTTTGTGGGCAATGTTTAGCACTGAGACCCCAAACAATTGTATATTTATGTTGTGATACCAATTCTTTATGGAGATATCTACAAACATCCTCCATGGTTGCACCTTGTCTAAGAATGAGTGCATCATTGAAATCTGGTGGAGCACCTCTTAATTTGGTATAAACACGGACTAAATTTAAATAATCCCAAATTTTATCTAATAAGAAATCTAAATTTAAGTTCATATTGCAACTAATAACAACTGAATGTGGTTGTCTTGAAAGTCTATCAACATCTTCCATTGACATATGATCCATTTTATTATATACCTAAATAATGATAGTATTAATATTTGAAATTATTTGTTTTATTAAAATAATTTCTTTGTATACAAAGATACTTTATCCTCCACCTAAATAATTTTATGTTACTTACATAGAGACATCTAATATATGAACGTCTACCTTCGATAGCATCAATTACTTCATCTACAGTTGGATCACAACGAATAACTAAATCGCAATTGAAAATTTTATATTCATGTAAAATTGATTTAACTAATTTTTCGGTTGTTTTGGTGAGTGCTTGGGTAGCTGTGAAATTTACACCACCAGCAGTTTTAGCTTTGAAATAAATATTTGGTGGTTGGGAATTTAAACGAATACCAATTGCTTCTAACTCTTCCTCTAATAATCTTTTTTGTATTTCACCTTTATTTGCATCCAACATCATTAAAATTAAATCTGCAGTTCTTGCGACTGAAATAACTTGTCTACCTCTACCTCTACCTTGTGAGGCACCTTCAATAATACCTGGTGTATCTAAAAGTTGAATTCTTGCACCATGATATTGAATAACACCTGGAATACATGTAAGTGTTGTGAATTCATATGCTGCTGCTAATGATTCTGTTTCTGTAAGTTTTGTTAAAATTGTACTTTTACCTACTGATGGGAAACTTTATAAACTATTATTAATATTGTATTTGGTTTAATAGATTTAATATAATATTATTTGCTACATACCCAATTAATGCAACTCTAGCATCACCTGACTTTAATACTTCAAAACCATCACCTGCTTTACCTGATGACTTTGGTGGTTCTAATAATTGTTGTCTTAATTTAGCCAATTTTGCTTTTAACATACCCAAATGATGCTCTGTGGCTTTATTTTTTTGGGTACGAGACATTTCAGCCTCGATATCCTTGATTTTTTCTAAAATACCCATTTTATTAGTTTATAAATGTAAATATAATAGTTAATATTAGATAATATTTAAAAAAAAAAATTAAAATATATTATTATTATCAAAATTTTGAAAAACGAAAAAATAAAAAATTTTAAAAAATTTTTAAATATTTTTTTTTTTTTTTTTTTTTTTAATTACAAAATATATTTTGGGTTTTACATATTACCAATTAAGATTCTATTTATAATGAATTAAAACAATACCTTGGAAAGAAGATTGAACCAGGAGAGGTAGCTTGGAGACATTTATTGTGTTGCCATTGCATGGAAAAAATAAACACTACAAGTGATTTTTTATTGAAATTTAATAAAAAAAAAAAAAAAAAAATATAAAAGGTGTTGTGTTTAAATTTTTATAAATTCTAATAATTTTTTTATTTATTATTTTATTTAATAAATTTTTTTATAAACCTAATTCATATAATTTTTTTTTTTTAAATTTATTTTATTTATTAATTTAGTAAATATAAATAATTATTTATATATAATAAAGAATGTATAGCCACAATCCAGATGCACCACACCAATTTTATTCCCACCATTTCACCAAACACAATCATATTATAACCAATAACGTTTGTGTGGTTTTATATGTGACTTTTTTCTCTTTTTTTGGGAATTATATGGAAACATTTTTAAAGTTCTTTTGGTTTACTACTATACGAATATTTTACTTCAGCTACTCTTATTTCATAGTGATTATACCAGTCTTTGATTCCATATTGTTGAGCGGCCATATGTTCTGAATTACTTTTCCAATTTTTAATACTTTCTAATGATTCCCAATATGATACAGTAATTCCAAAACCTTTATTATTTGATGTACTTTCTACTCCTAAATAGCCCGGTTGAGATTTTGCCAATTCATCCATTTTTATATCCATTTCAGAATATTCCTTATTTGTTTCAATTGGTTTTTGTGATGTAAAAATACAAACAAAATAATCTTTTTTTGGGGTTTTTGCGAAACTATCTAAATTCATTTTTGTTATTCAATAAATTATAAAAATGTAATTTTAAAATCTAAAATAATTAAATATTAAAAAAAAATTAAAAAAAAAAAAAATTAAAAAAAAAAAAATATTTTCATAAATTAATTAATTAAATTTTTTTTTTATTATTTCTAAAAAAAAATAAAAAAAAAAAATATATAGATTGGTTAATTTTTTTATAGTATTTTATTTAGATTACAATATTACCATCCTCATAGTAATGTTGCTCAATATTATTAAAAAAATTCAAACTATAAATAATTGTATATATACAGAGAAATAATCAATAGGAAAATCAAACTTTTAACATTTTAATTAGTCAACTAATATCCATTTAAAAAAAAAAAAAGAATGTTTAATAAATATTAATATTATATAATACCCACACATACACCACACCCCCCACACATTTAAATTTTAAATCTCATAGTTTTTAGAAATTTTTTTCTAAATTATTTTATATAAAATATCTAAACTATTTAAAATGAAATATATATTAATTATTTTTTTTATAAATATAATATTAATAATTTTAACATTTTCAAATTTTGCATATTCCACCTATCCCTGTGGAAAAAGTATATGTGGTAATGGTCAGCTCTGCAGAAAAGTAAATGGTAGTTATTTTTGTATCACAAAACAAGACTTAGGAAAAATAGATTTATCATTAAAAAAATTAAAAAACCTCAATAATCAAAACATTAGCCTGTATCAACTAATTATAGAAAACAATTTAGAAAAAGATATTAAAGAACTATATATTTTAGTTCAAAATTTTAATATAATAAAAAAAAGTATAAGTAAATACAACATTACAATATTACCAAATAATATAATAAAAATTAACAATATTAAATCAAAATCATCAAAAAAAATAGAATTTTCAAACCATGATAAAGAAGAACAACCTTATTTCGAAGTTTATTTTTTAAAGTAAAACAAATAAATTATTTATAAACCTTTTGGTGAATTTTTTTATATTAATGGTATTTTATTTTATTTTTTTTTTATTTTATTTTATTAAATATTTAATTTTTTAATATTTAAATATTTTTCTATAAAGCTTATATTACATGTTATAAACCTATACTATATAAATATGTGATGATTAATTTAAGCAGTAATGTATGATGACATTGTGCTGATACCACAGTGATTACCTCTGTTACGAGCCACTTTAGATAGAGAAAAAAAAAAAGAGTATTGATTAGTAAACTATATTATAAATTTAAACTATTAATTAATTTGTAGTGTGAAACTTACTTTTAATGAAACCTGAGTCACCCCATTTTAAGCCCCATGAGTTAGCAACAATCCAATAATCTTTACCAGTAACTGAATCAGTATCATAACCTACAGCAAGGACAGCATGTGAAAGACTGTATGATGAACAGTATGGTTCATAGTAAACACCAGTTTTGTATAATTGGAAGGAAATGTGACCAGCATCAATAGCAACAGCAACTGGACCATGGGTGGCAATAGCTTGTTGGAGATCACCTTCATCACCTCTACGGATTTCAACGGTACCATTGAAAGTAGCAACGATTGGGGTTTTAACAGAGTCGAATCTGCAGCTGGCATCTTTAGCTTCATATGGGTATGAGGCTTCACTGACAGCACCACCTTGATCAAGAAGGAATTGGAATGATTCTAACATGTAACCACCATTGCAACCTTCATTACCATAACTACGTGAACAATCTAAAATGTTTTGTTCAGATAAAGTTAACATTTCACCATTAGCAATATAGTAAGCTGATTCAGCGGCACCAATAGCACTAAAATATTTAAAAAAAACAATAATTAATATTTAATTTTAAATTAGTTTTAAAAATTAAAAATAAAAAACATACGAGAATGAATAACATGAACCACAGTGACCTTGATCTTTAATATCGTGAACAGCACCTTTTTCTCTCCAATCAACTGAGGTTGGGAGTTGGATTCTTGAAAAAGTACGTGGAGTTCTGAATGGTTCGACTTCGATGGAGGCACCTAATAAGGTATTTCTATATTCGACATTGTTCATATCAGCAAAGTTATTTAAACCAAGAACGGTTTCAGAGTTCTTTGAATTCCATTGGTGAACATAGTCCATGTTATCTTGGAAAGTTCTGTATTTTCTGGCAAATTCATCATGTGAATAAGCTTTACCGTGAGATTTCATCCATTGGACGAATGATGATTGATATTGGTTTGGAGTGAAAACTCTTGAACTGGCAATAATGTTAATTGATAAAAATAATAAACTTAAAACTAAAATAAATGATAATCTCATTTTTGCTGGTATATATATTATAAAAAAAATATTTGAATGAATGATAAAAAAAAAAAAATTATTTACTATTTATACATTTTATTTTGTTTTATTAACTGAAAGTTGTCAAAAAAAAACAAAAAAAACCAGTGAAAACAAAAAATAATACACAATTGCACAAAAAAGTTATTTATTTATTTTTTAGATTTCTAAATTTGTTTTTTTTTTAATTTTAATTTCTTATTTTTTTAAAACCAGAACTGATATTAATGAAATATTTTATTAAATATTTAATTTTGATACCAGCGCACGTTTGTTTGAAAAAACTAAACAAAAAATAAAAAAAAATAAAAATGAAAAAAAAATGAAAAAAAAAAAATGCGCATTTACCAGACAAATAAACAAATTAAAATTTTTTTATTTTTTTTTTTTTCATTATATACAAAATCAAATATCATATTTTTCTTTTATTTATTATAATTAAAGCTGGTCTAATAACTTTTATTTGTTATTTTGAGGGTGAAAAATTGATTTGATTTTTTATAATGAAAATTCATATTACTTTTATTTTATTTTTTTTTATCAAAAAAAAAGTTTGATTAAAATCAAACATATTGTTGCTTAAAAATAGAAACAATACAAAATAATTAAAAAGATATTTAAATAATAAAACTTTATTTTTTCACTAAATTATAATTATGCTTTTATTTTTTTTTTTTTTTTTAATTACAATATTTTTTTTTTATTCAATAAATAATGTCTGTATTTTTTTCTATGATTTGTTATTTTAAATGAGACCGTTTAATCATTTAGAATAACTTGGCTTCTTGCTTTTTAGATTTTTGTTTCCAACCTGGTAATTTAATAAACTCTTGTTTTGAAACACCAATTACTTTTAAGAATTCTTCGTCAGATAAATAAATTTCTAATTTGGTTATATCAACTGGAAGATTTAATTGTTTATGATTCTTTAAGTCTTCGTATGGATAAGTTTGGACATCTGTTGGAATTGAGGTAGTAGCAGTTGGTGAAACAACTTGATTAATATTTGATGGAACTGATGAAGTTTTAATAACGACTGGAGTTTTGGTTGGAGTGGCTTTGACAGGTGTTGATACGGCTGGTGATGAGGCACCTTCATTATTAACTAATCTTTCTGATGATTTTGACTTCAATACTGATCTAAAATCAAAAGTCTTTGGCTCTTCAGCCTTGACTGGCAATGATTGCTCTGATTGAGTCTTCTTGAGTACAACTTCACCTAAATTAACCTTTGCTTCGCCAAAAATATTAACACCACCAATTGGTTTTCTTTCTTCCTTTACTGGTGTTTGAATGGTTGGTTCTTCTTTGGTTGTTTCTTCTTTTGTTGGTTCTTCTTTGGCTGGCTCTTCTTTGGCTGGTTCTTCTTTGGTTGGTTCTTCTTTGGTTGGTTCTTCTTTGGTTGGTTCTTCTTCATTAACATCTTCTTTTGTTTCACTTGATTCGGTTCTTTTACTTGGTTTCTTTGATGGTCTTGAAAGAGTTAACTATAAAAATTTAAAAATTAATATTTACATTTAAACAATAAATAAAATTTATTATTTACTTACATGAGTTAAATTTTGATGAGATGTAATATCGGCTTCATCAGCTTTCTTTTTAGCTTCCTCTTCTTTCTTTTGTTGTTCTTCTTTCTCTTTTTCAACACGTTCTTGTTCTGCCTTTTCTTTTTCGATACGCTCTTGTTCTGCTTTTTCCTTTTCAACACGTTCTTGTTCTGCCTTTTCCTTTTCAACACGTTCTTGTTCTGCTTTTTCCTTTTCAACACGTTCTTGCTCTGCTTTTTCTTTTTCGATACGCTCTTGCTCTGCTTTTTCTTTTTCAACACGTTCTTGTTCTGCTTTTTCCTTTTCAACACGTTCTTGTTCTGCTTTTTCAACACGTTCCTTTTCTTGTTTTGCTAATCTTTCCTTTTCTTCATCCTCTTGTTGTTTCTTTTTAGCAGCAGCTTCTTCATCAGCCTTCTTTTTATTGGCAGCTTCTTCATCGGCCTTCTTTTTGTTGGTAGCTTCTTCGTCGGCTTTCTTTTTAGCAAGAGCAGCAGCAATTTCCTCCTTCTTTTTATTTTCTGCCTCTTCATCAGCTTTCTTTTTGGCAGCAGTTTCCTCATCAGCTTTCTTTTTGGCAGCAGCCTCATCAGCTTTCTTTTTAGCAGCTTCTTCGTCAGATTTCTTTTTGGCAGCAGCAGCTTCTTCATCAGCCTTCTTTTTGGCAGCAGCCTCTTCAGATTTCTTTTTAGCAGCAGCTTCTTCATCAGCCTTCTTTTTGGCAGCAGCCTCTTCATCAGATTTCTTTTTAGCGGCAGCAGCGGCTTCTTGTTTTTTTTTCTTTTCCTCTTCAGCTAACTTTTTCTTTTCAGCTTGCTCTGCAGTTTCTTTTTTCTTTGCTTCTAAATCTTGTGTTTGCTCGCCTGCAACTGGCTTTGTTTTTTTCATAGTTGGTCCATTAATTTTCTTTAATAAAACATCAATATCATCACCTTTGTTTTGTTGTTTCTTTTTATTTGATTTCTTTTTATTTGATTTACCGTTTGAGACAGCGACTGGAGTGGCGGAAGCAGTGGCGGTAGTAGCATCTGAAGCATTGTTGGTCTCTGTAGTTACTGGAGCGGTGGTAGTTTGTTTGGATGGTTCACCACCAAAGTTTGGTTCAACAATTTTGAAACCAACACTCTTTTGAACTGGTGAAGGTTTTGGTGATTTCTTTGGTTGTTGTTGCTTAGCCTCGGTTGATTTTTGTTGTTGTCTTTGTTGTTGCTTTTGTTTTTGAATTGGTGAAGCTTTTTGTTCAACTTTCTTTTCTGATGATTTAATACCAATCTTTTTAATTTCTTCAGCTTGTTTTGGTTCCTCAACAAATTTTGGTGGCTCTTCGGTAATGGTTGATGGGGAAGTATTGGTAGTTGTAGTAGTGGTGGTGGTAGTTGATGGAACAAAAGTACTATTTGATGAAGTAATGGCTGGTGAATTTGGTTTGCTGTTTGATTTTTTATTTTTCTTTGGTTTATTATTAGCATTATTAACCTTGATTAGTTTTGATCTTAATCTAATAACATCTTCATTATCGATTTTGAATGAATCGTCAGTGAAATCTTGTGGTTGATTAATTTCAAATGATGATAATTGAGTGCTGTGCTTTCTTTTATTTTGATTTTTTTTTGGTTTTTTAGAGTTAATTGATGGTGATGATTGTTCAATCGAAGTAGCGGAAACAGAATCAACGGCAATGGCAGAGGCAACTGGTTCTGGTTCGACTGATTTTGGTTCATTGGCAACTGGTTGTTGTTTCTTTTCCTTTTCTAGTCTGTCTTTTTCTTCTTTTTCCAATCTTTCTTTTTCTTGTCTTTCTTCCTTTTCCTTTTGTAATCTAATCTTTTCTTGCTCTGCTTCCTCTTCTTTCTTTTTGGCATCGATTTCGGCTTGTTTCTTCTTTTGTTCAGCTTCTTCCTTTTCTTTCTTTTCTTGAAGTTCCTTTTGTAACTTTTCTTCTTTAATTTTTCTGAAACCCTCTTGTCTCTTATTTTCAGCTTCGGCTTTTAATGCTCTGGTATTATCTTTAAATTCTTCTGGTTCTTGAATTGTAAAACCATGAACTGGTTTTTTAGCAGAGCTTGCTTTTTTATTTCCTTTTGCCATAATGTTTGATGAATGTTTTAAAATCTATAAAACTTTTTTTTTTTTAAAAAAAAATTAAATATTTAGAGTAATAACAAAATAAAATAAATAATAATATTAAAAGAAAGCAATTAAAAAAAAAAAATATATATAGAAAAAAAACTAATTAAGTTTTGAAAAAAAAAAAAACAATTTAAAAAAATTAAAAAAAAAATAAAAATTTTAATCAAAAAAATAAAAATTAATAAAAAAAAAAAAATAAAAAAAAAAATAAAAATAAATAATTAATGGCTATGTAATATTATGATAATTTAAACCAAAATGGTAAGACTCGTTTTAAAAATTTCGCTTGAAATATAACATTGTTCAAAAATTATTCAATATGTTTATGTGTTTAAAATGTACATTTTACTTTTTTTTAATAGTTTATTTAATAAAATTGATAAAATGGATTTTTTTAGTAAATTTTTTATTTAATTCACTAATTCAAGTATGTATAATTATATTAATATAAAAAGTGATTAATTAATTTTATTTAATCATATATAAATATCTTTTTTTTTTTAAAATTTTTTAAAATTAAAAATTAAATTAAATTTTAACACACACATTCACAACACACATTTTTTAAAAAAATGACAGATTGGGGAAAATATATCCAAGATAATATATTAAATCTTGATTTTAAAATTTTATAAATATTAGCTATTGTTGGTAATATTTTAGGTGCAAAAGGATTTTCAATAAACTTGAAGAAAAAGATGTAATAGTAAAATATTTAAAATGGAAATAATGGATAACAACAACCATAATTGATAATGGTATATTTGATTCAAAAACAACAGATTTTTCCAAAAATAGTAATACAAGCGTTATCATTATAGTCATACAAATAAAACAATCTTTGTTGTTTTATTTTATGATCGATCATAAATTTGGTGAAGTTGTAAATATATCAAATTTATTATTATTACTAATTTTTTTTTTTTATTAATTTTATTTATTTTATTAACAATAGAGCTATATTATTGAAAGTTTGCAAATCATTTGCTAAATGCATTTTAAAAAAAATCAAATCAAATCAATAAATATGTATAATAACAAATAGATAATTCAATCACTATTTCAAAGTGTAAAATAAAAAAAATAATAAAAAAGAGAAAAAAAACCGAAAACCGAAAAATAAAAATAAAATAAAAAAAAAATATTTTTTTTTGATGTTGATGATTGCGCAATCAATTTCGACATCAGAAACCCATTTACGTAATTTTCATAGAGAATTACCACGAATTTTGATCAAAAATATATTAAAAAAATTTTATTTAATTTTTATTTAATATTTTATTTAATTCTAATTTTAATTTTTTTTTTTTTTAATTTAAAAAAATAATATAAATAGCCGAATTAATTTTCATTATTTTCAAAAAATTAAAAATTTAATATAATCAAATAAATATTAAATAAATTATATTTTAATAATTAAATAAATCAAATTCTATATATATATAATAATAATAAAAATCAAATAATAATAAAATGTCCTGTTTATATTTACCAAATTTAATTAACTTTTTAAATAATGATATCATTGATAAAATCAATGAAAAAGAGATTCAATATAACCAACAACAAAAAAGCAACGAAATTATAAATAAATTATTAGAATCAAATAAATACACATTAAATCCAAACCTCAAAATCCAAGAAGATACCAATAAATATCAAATTACCGCTTTGTTACCTAATTTTAATAAAGATGAAGTTAATATTGAAGTTAAAAATGGTCGTTTAGTCATTTCAGCCTATAGAGAAGAACCAAACAACAATACCAACGATAACCAAGATGAATCAATTACAATCAAGAAATATAAAAAAACAATTGACATTAGTAACAAGAATTTAGATATTCAGTCAATTAAAGCTTCATATAATAATAATACTCTTAATATAATTATTCAAAAATTAAATGATAGTTTATCTCTTAAAATCCAAATAGAGTAAATGATGATTCATTCTGTAATATATAAAAAAAAAAAAGAAAATACATAAAAATTAAATAATAATTTTTTGTATATGTAAATAAAAAGAAAATAGTTTAATAATGTTAATTAATATTCATATAGATATTCTTTAATCATTATTAAACTAAATATGTAATATAGTCTTTATACAAACCATAAAACTATATATTCTAAAGTCTTTTTTTTTATTGAATAATTAAAGTTGTTTTTTTATATTTATATAACAAATGTAATTATAAAAAAAAAAACATAAAACAACAAATATTAATAGAGTACACTTTTTTTTTTAATTATTATTATAGCTTTTATTTATTTTTAAAATCACCTTGTAATATCTTTTCTACTTTTCTTTTATTTTAAACTTCTTAATAAAAAATTTTATTTTAAAACTACACCAAATATTTATTTATTTCTTTTTTTTTGAGTATATAGTTTGTTTTTTTCTAATATTGATTAATAGTACATTTATTTGACCAAAGTTGCCATGACTATCTACATATATTATTTACCCTAATAATATAGAGTTGGGATTTTTTTTTTTACATATAAAAATTAATGTGTCTTTTTTTACATATAAAATGAAATTGGCAATTGCCAAACGCAAAAATTTTACATACAAATTTAAAATTTTTTTTTTTTTTAATTTAAATATTTTTTTAATTTTTTTTTTAAAAAATGTTTTAATATTAATATTAATTTTTTTTTAAAAAAGGTCTTAATTTTTTTAATAAATTATTGGGAACTATTGACTTTTCAAAGGGATGTTATTTCTACAAATAATCTTTTTTTAATTGATCATATGCTTAGATATTTTTTGGTGAACATTCTCCCCTAACTATTGAAACAATTACAAAAACAGAAGTTTTAAATAACTTTTTTCACCCTAATAACCAAAAATTAGAAGATTTTAGAAATTATTTTTCAGCGATAATAATCTAAATTGGCCATATGTCAACCCTCTGGTTATCCATCATTTTGAAAGCTTATTGAAAAAAGCTTCAAAGAAATGTGTCATCCCAAAGGTTTCAAAAAAAAATCACCAAAAGTATAGAATTTTAAAGAATTTAGAAAGAGCATTAATGACTCCAGAAATGTATTATTTTGAACAAAATAAACTCACTCCATTTAATATAAACTCATTCAACGATCATTTAAACTATGGACTAAAAAAGGAAAACAGGATTTCGTTATCTCAATTTTAGAAAGGATTATTTTATATTCAACAAAATCAAACTACCTCGACATTAGTTCAATTATAAAAAATACATACAAAGATCCTGATGGCAGCCATTTGATGTGCAAATAATCCCAATAGCAAAAATTTAATGTGAGATTTTTTTTTTTTTTTACATTGAAAAATTTCCATTTCCCTATTACTCTAATTTTTATAAGTCTTTTTCCATATTAATTTTATATAGAGTTGATGATTTTTTTTATAATTAACCCAATTGATTGAATCCAATGGGGATGTAAGTGACATTATTAAAATTATAATAAATAGTCTTAAAATAAAATATAATAGATATGGTTGTTTCTCTTTTTTTTTGGTTTTGTTTTTATTTTTTTTTAAAATTTACAATTTTTTATATTAATTTTCATATGTTGTATCATTATTATTATTATCATTGTTATTATCTTTATTGTTATTATAAGTATAGTTATTATTATTACTATTTATTTCTGGATTTTCACCATCTGGATTAAGATTTTTATAACCTCTTAATGATGGGTGACGGTATAATATATAATGTTGGATCATAAATAATATATCGAAGGCTATACTGAATAATGATAACCCTAGTTTAACAGGATCACCAGTGAAGATTTTCCAATTGGAAGACTCTGCTACATCTAAAAACATTTGTAAAAGACTAAGAACACCACCGCTAAAATCTAATAAAACATTACCTATACTCCAACCGCTTGTACTTTTATTCTTATAATTGATATAAGCCTGTGGTACATATTTAATAAAGGTAATAAATAATTTTACATAGCTGTAGAAATAAATAACCCATAACCATGATACAACCTTGGCAAATCCTAAAATGGTAACTACTATCATTGATATCCAAATACAGATACCAATGCCAACACCAATCTTTGAATTCTTTTGGTTACCTCTTTCGTAGACAAAGCATTGGACAATTGTGATGAGTGTCAATATAAAACCATGAATGGCGAATGCTACATCACTTGCATATACTGGGAGTGGTGGAGCATATTTCTCTAAATATTCATTTTGAACAAGTTTATCCCAATATAAAACTGAGTTAAAAACTGAATAACACATATATCCTGTTATATTGAATAGTAAAAAGTCAAAGCTGAGCCCTAAAACACTAAAAAATTATTTCATTTAATATATTTAAAAATGGTAAATTGTTTGCAAATTTAAAATTTTTTTAAAAAAAAAAAAAAATCTGAAAATGATAATCCACACTAACCTATAATATAACACACTACATACTTTTTCTTTTTAAAATTTAAATAAACTTGGGGATAAAAACTTAGGGACCAACATGCAAAATATATCCAACCTATTATGGACGCTATAATTGATAATGCTGACATAATAAATATATATGTATGTGTGTGTGTGGTTTATATGGATGGTACTTTTTTAAATTACTTTTTTTATTAATTATTATTTTTATTATTATTATTATTATTATTATTGATTTATAAAATACACATATATTATTTATTATTTATCAATTATTTATTTTTTTTGTTTAAAAATCGATTAATAAACAATCGTATGCAATTCTAATTTATAAAAAAATTTAAAAAAAAAAAAAACAAAAAAAAAAATTAAAAAAAAAAAAAAAAAAATATTTAATAAAAAAAAAAAAAATTTATTATAATAATTTTTAATTTAATTCTTTCTAATTTATAATTAATATAATATTATTTTATATTTCATATGTATACATAAAGCATCATACATGTAGAAAATTAAATTATTATAATTTTCAAAAACATCAAATTTTATCATAATAATATAAACAGCACAACAATAATACTAATTGAATAAATAATAATAATAATAAAGACTTTTTAAAAAATTAATTAAATTTTATTCAAATAATCATTTTGCATCTGATTATTTTATATTGTTTATTATTTTTCAATATCTATATTAATACCAGGTGTTTCAATATTTATATTTTGTTGTTCTTTATTATTATTGTTATTTTTATCTTTTATTTCATTTATAACATTTTCTAAATTATCTTTATTTTTATTAGTAGTAGTATTATTATTATGACGGTAAAGTATATAGTGTTGTATCATAAACAATATATCAAAGGCTATACTTAGCAATGATAAACCTATTTTAACAGGATCACCAGTAAAAACTTTCCAATTAGAGGTATCTGCTACATCCAAAAACATTTCTACAAGACTAAGAACGCCACCAGCGAAATCAAATAAAACACTTCCAATACTCCAACCACCAGTACACTTATTCTTGTAATTTACATATGCTTGTGGTACATATTTAACAAAGGTAATAAATAATTTTACATAGCTGTAGAAATAAATAACCCATAACCACGATACTACTTTAGCAAATCCCAAAATAGTAACCACAGTTGCAGCAATCCACAGTAAAATACACAACCCTCCACCTACCCTGGATATTTTTTGATTACCACTGTTTTTATAGAATATTATACATTGAAGTATAATAAATAAGTTCATCCCAAAGGCGTGAATTGCAAATGCCACATCACTTGGATGCACTGGAATTGGTGGCGCATATTTTTCAATATACTCTTGTTGAACCGCTTTATCCCAATATAAAACAGAATTAAATACCGAATAGAAAAAGAACCCAGTGAAATTGAAGAATAAAAAGTCATGTGATAACCCTTTTGTGCTTTTAGGTATGATTAATAATTATAACAACAACAATAATAATAAATTAATAAACTATTAAATATTCATAATACCTAAACAACCAAAATATTACATACTTTTTCTTTTTAAAGTTTAAATATACCTGGGGGTAAAAACTTAAAGACCAGCATGCAAAATAAACCCACCCTATTATGGACTTAATGATTGTTAAAGCTGACATAATAATAAAATAATATAAAGTTTTTTTTTTATTTTATGTATATGTTTGAAAATAATTCTTTTTTTTTAATTTATTTTTTCGGTATAGAATATACTTATTTTTGTTGTTAAATCCCACAATCACAGTACAGAGAAAAAGAAATAAAGAAATAAATAATTGCAAAAAAAAAAAAAAAAAAAAAAAAAATGGACATATTCTATAATTATTATTAATATTTAATAAATTAAGTATTTCAGAATTTAATAAATATTAATATGTTCAAATCTATCCCAGTGTTTGGAGTTTAGTTTTATAGTGTGGGGCAGTGGGTGACACCTTATCTGACTTATAAATATATTTTGGTGTCAAAAAATATCTAAAAAATTTAAAACACACAAAAATACAATTAATTGAAGTAAATATAAAATAATAATAAATTTTAAAGTTTTAGAAAACTTTAAATGGGATAAGTATATTTATTGTTTTTGTTTTATAATATCGGTACTATTCTAATTAAATTTGGTTCAGTAGGATCTTTTTCAATTATACCTGCTCTATATAGTAATTCTATTTCTTCAGATATGGAATGAATTGAGCTATTTGAACCTTGTGGTGTTAGTATTGGATCTTTTATTGAGGTGTATCTTTGGTTGTTGTCAATAAAAACATTCATAAGTTGTTGGAGTATATAAACTAAATTTTCTTCCATTTTTAATTTATTATTAGTGGTGGTATTGGTTGGTGAAGTTGTTCTTGTTCTTGTTGTAGTTGTAGTTGTTGCTGTTGCTGTTGCTGTTGTTATATTTTTTCTTTTCAAATCATCATTATTTTGTTGGGTGTCTTTATTTAAAAATAAATCTGAAGAATAGTTTTTTATAAAGTTTAATAATACTTGTGTTTGAAAATCCTCCTTTTTAACTAAATAGATAAGTTGTTTTGAAATGATTTCTTTTGATCGTTGTAGGGCTTTATCGTTTTCTATTAAATTTTTTCCAATAATTTTCGTTTCTTCCAATAACCTCTTTTCATTAGCCAACTCTTTATCTATTTTTTCGGATTGTTCTTTCAAACTACTTTCATAGTATCCCAACTGATCTATTAAATTAACTAGCTCCAATTCTGTTTGATATTCAATTTCGTTAAATTTTAATTCTAAAAAGGAGAAAATTAATACAAAGTACTATTTATTATGCTATATTATATCTATAAATTAAAAATTTAAATACCTTTAGATGTATTTATTGGGTTGTCTAATAGTTGTTGAATCTGGTCTTTTAATAGTCTTTCTTGTGACTGAAGAATTCTTATTCTCTAAAAATCAATAATTAAAATTTGTTTATTAATATTGATTAAAATTTTTGTTTGTTTATAGTATATATATATATTTGATTTTTATTGACCTACATACCAATGAAGTTGTATCTTTTAAAGATTTTAAAGTTTCTTTGTTTTTGGTTTCCATCGATTCATTTGAATCTTTTAAATTTTCTAAATGTTTTGATAAATTATCAATTTCATTTTTTAATGTGTGTTCACTTAAAATATTATTATTATTATTATTATTATTTAATTGTAATTCCATCCATTGGATTATATAAAGTTTAAATAGTATAAATGGCTGCTTTTTATTAGAAATAAAATAATGAAATTAAAATTAAATTAAAAAAAAATAAAAAAATAAAAAAAAATAAATTCGTAATTGTTATTTTTTTTTTTTTTTTATAATTTTTTATTTTTTTTTTTTGGTTTTTAATGCATTTTCATTATTAATCTATATTATATACACAAATATATACCACAATGAACCAATTAATTAAATTTAATAATATTAGAGTTTTATTTTTAAATTCAAATAAAATTTCAACCAAATGTTCATATTCAACATCAAATAATAACAATTCACCATTTTCAAAAAATAGTGATAAAAAAATTGAAATTTCAAAAGAGAACCAAAAAATATTAGAAGAAATAGAAGCTGAAGTTGAAGAATTTGATGTTGCCCCATACGTTAACCCAAAGACTGGTGAAGTTGGTGGCCCAAGAGGTCCAGAACCAACTCGTTATAATGACTGGGAAAGAGCTGGTAGAGTTTCAGATTTTTAAAAGAAAAAAAAAAATATCATTTTTTTCCAATAAAATTGTACATATAAATAAATAAATAAATTAATAAATAAATAAATAAATAAATAAAAAATAGAACCACCTTTTTTTTTTTTTTTTTTTCAAAATATAAACAAAAACAATCCTATTATGTACCCTTTAAATATTTTTATTTAATCATTGTTTTTTTAAAAAAAAAATAATATATATATATATTTTATGATAATCCATAAAAGATTTGTGTGTAGTAATAGATTTAATTTGTAACCAAATAATATTTTGATTTTCTCCAAATGATAAAATATGGTGTAATTTAAAATTGTGTTGCGGGGTTTTAAATACATATCTTAAATCTTAAAAAGAAAAAAAATATTTTAAACAAAGCATTTTGGTAAATTAGAAAAAAAGAAAAGTAAAGGTTTAATAATTAAATAAAAAAAACAGTAATTTATAAATCAATAATTAAATAATTAGAAAAAGTTAAATAAATAAAAATAAATAAATAAATATATCTTTTTTTTTAAAATATCTTTTTTATTTTATTTTTATTTTTATTTTATTTTATTTTATTTTATTTTTTATTTTTTTCAAAATTTTTTTAAAAACTGAAAAAAATTAATCTTTTTTTTTTTTTTTTTTTTTTTTTTTTAAAATTTTTTTCAAATCAGTATATCTTTTTTTATAGTATTCCATATTTTATTTTATTTTGTTTTGTTTTATTTTATTTTATAAATTATAAAAAAAGAAAAGGAAAAAGAAAAGACAATCTTAATAGTTGTGTGTATATAAATTTCTATCATCACATTCATCTTTTTTTTTTTATTTTTTTTTTTTTATTTATTTTTAATTTAATTTGTTTTCCTGTTCATATTACATATTACACATTGGGCATATTAAAAAATTATTATATGTGTGTGTTGGGTTAATTGTTGTGTGTGTTAATTAAATATTTTTTTTTTTTTTTTTTTTTAATTTGTTTTAATTTTGAAAAAAAAAAAAATATATATTTTCATTTATTATAGAAAAATCATAACAACAACAACAACAACAGTAGCCAAAATATAACATTCAGTGACAGAATAAATTAAATAAAAATACAAATATAAAAAGCAATAAATAGGTAAGATAGTATTTTAAATAGATTGCCAGATGGGAAATAAGATTATGTGGGAGGATAAAAAGAGGAAATTTTTTTTATTTTAGGGGTGTATTTAAAAATAAATTATCGATATTAATTATTATTATTTTTAATTCTCAATAACAATAACAATAAAAAATAATAATTTTATAGATTAATAAAAAGAGAAAATGGAAAAATTAGAAAATCAAGAACAAAAGGGTTCGAATACTTCTATAAATAAAAGTGAAGACCAAATAAAGGATAATACAGATGGTGTTGATAAAATTTCAGATTTAGAAAATAAAATAAAATTACTCAGTCTTCAATTGGAATCTGAAAGACAAAATAAAACACAAATCGAATATGAAAATAAAAATTTAAAAAAGATATTAGAAGAGTTATCACCTTTAAAAACTACAAACAATAATAGTAGTAGTAGTAGTAGTAGTAGTGGTGGTGGTGGTAATGATATAAATAACACAGCAGCAGTTTCAACACCATCAATGAATAGCAACAATAGTAGTTTGTCAAATGGTGCATCAAATAATAATGGCAGTAATAATGGTACACCTACATTAGTATCATCAGCAGCATTATTAAATTCCGCACAGCAAATAATAAGTAACAATAAAAAACTGGAAGATACCATAACAAAATTTGAAGACCAAGTTATGCAATTAAAATTATCTCTTACCAAACGTGCCTCTACTCATTCTTTACCACTCAAATCATATTCACCTTCAAATATGTCCCCAAGTACTCCTTCGTCAAATTCAGTTTTAGAAAGTCAAAAATTATTGCAAACTAAACTAGATACATTTGAACAAAAATATTCTTCAATCAAAAATATTTTATTAGATATGGCAAATACAAGTGTGGATTATGATACAGACAATAATAATAGTAACAAAATAGAAAATAATGTAAATAATAATATTAATGCTGCTCCAACTATCCCCACTGCAACAAACAATGAAATTAATATAAATATCAATATTGATATTAATAATAATAATAATAATGATAGTAATAATAATGATGATAGTAATAATAATAGTAACAAAGAAATTGAAGAAAAAATAGAAATAGAAAAAGAAAATAATAAGTTTATAGATAATAATAATGATGAAATAAATAGCATTGGTTATAATAATAAAATTAATAACGAAACTGATAGTGGTGATCATATATTATTAGATAAAGAAGCTATTGATACTGCAACCAATAATAGTAGTATTAGTGTAAATATTGATTCAAATAGTACTTTATCGATTCCAGAAGATGAAACTTCCTCTACTAAAATTTCAAGTGATAATTTAATTTTACAAAATCAACCAATTACAACTTTTGTTTTAGAAGAATATCCATTAGATAATAGTTCTAATAATAATATTGATAATATTGATAATAATAATAATACAGATATAATAGTAAATAAAACAGAAGAAATAGAACCAGAAAAAGAAAAAGAAAGAGAAGAAAAACAAAATAATTTATTGTTGGATTCTGGATCAGATTCAGAATCTTGTTCAGAAAGCGATACTGATAAATCAACCATAAAATCATCATCAGATAGTATCAATGGCAAAGATAAAGATCCATTTATAACACCAGTTGAACAACCAAAATTAAATATAAATATTTATAAAGATGAAGAAGATGCAAAACCAATTACAAAATATATTGTGGCACCAGAAGATGTCTCATCATTACCTGATCCACCCTCAACTGTTCCAACCATTATACCCAAACCCGTATCATTACAAAAAAATAAATTAGCAAATACTGCATCATTAAGTTCTTCACCAAAACCTTCATCACCTATACAATCACATAGAGAAAAAGAAAATAGTGTATTAAGTTCAGCAAGTTTAATAGGTCCACCATCATTACCAATTAACGAACAAGAAAAAGAAAAAGAAAAAGAACAACAAGAACCAACAGATTTAAATAATAATAATAATAATAATAATAGTAATAATACAAATATAAATACATTAAACAATAATATTAATGGTAGCTCAAACCAAATAACCACCACTACTACCACAGCTACAACAACACCATTGGCATCATCAACCATATCATTACCATCATCAACATCTACATCATCATCCTGTAATTTTGAAACAACCAGTAATTCAGAGGAAATCATTAATAATGTTAGGGTTATACCATTATCTGATATTGTTAAAGAAGGTCATTTGAAGAAGAAGGGTGGTGGTGAAGGTGGTCGTCGTAATTGGACAATAAGATGGTTTAAGTTAAAGGACGATTCACTCAGTTATTATAAAAAAAGAAAAGACTCAAAACCAAAAGGTATCATTAAATTAAGTCATTCAAAAGTTGAAACTCACAGCGGTAAACCTTTTGGTATTGTAATTTTATCTGGTATCAATAGTAAAAATATAATGCGAGATTATTTATTAATGGCAGAAACTAAAAAAGAGCAGGAAGAATGGATACAATCAATTTCAGAAGTTATAAATAAGTTACAAGGTTTAGGTTAAAAAAAAAATAAAAAAATAAAAAAATAAAAAAATAAAAAAATAAAAAAATAAAAATAAAAATAAAAATTAAAATAATAACTCACTATTTAAATGATTGATTAAACAATGGTTTTTTTTTTTTTTTTTGTGAAGAGGAAACACAACTAATTTACTTTTTTTATTATTTATAATAAATTAATACCCCCTAGCACCAAAATTATTTTTTTTAAAATTTTTTTTGATTTAATTTATTTTTCTAAAATTTTAAAATTTTTTTTCTTTTTTTTTAATTAATAAGTAATAAAATATAAATAATGATAATGAAATTTATCAAATTAATACTATTTGTATTTTTAATAATAATAGTCTCAAGCAGTAATGCTTCAAAAATAAAAAATAAGGATAATGAAGTAATTAATGCTTTCCTTATCCCACACTCCCATTGCGATGTGGGTAAGTAACAACTTGTTTAGAATAGATATTATATTAAAATAACATAGTTTATTAATTGTCTTTATTTTAATTAGGCTGGGTAGAAACTTATGATCAGTATTATACAGAAAAGTAAGTGTTTAGAGTTTCAAATCAATTTATTTAAACAAAATATTTATAATATAGTTTTATTTTAGTGTCTCTGTAATTTTAGATAGTGTTGTTCATGCTCTTATTAATGATCCAACAAAAAAATTCAATTGGGCTGAAATGTAAGGAAGAAAGAATAGTTCATATTATATTTTTTAATAGCATTATATTAATATTGTTTATTTTATAGAATTTATTTTGAAAGATGGTGGAATGAACAATCATCAATCATACAGGCAAAAGTTAGAGATTTAGTGGATCGTAAACAATTGTATTTTATTGGTGGTGGTTGGGCTCAAAATGATGAGGCCACAATTCATTATGAAGCAGTTATTAACCAAATGACATTAGGCCATCAGTTTTTATTATCAGAGTTTGGTGTAGTACCAGAGATAGGTTGGCAAATTGATCCATTTGGTCCATCAACCCTGACAGCAACATTATTTTCTTTAATGGGCTTTAAATATCATGTTATCAATAGAATTGATGAAAGAATTAAATATGTTTTCAATACAACCCCAGATATTCCAGGTTCAGGTTATATGAGTACAGAAAGGGAATTTGAATTTGTTTGGTTCCCATCACCCAATAACCAGGATCTTTCTATATTTACTCATATTTTAGACCATCATTATAGCTCACCATAGTAAGTTAAATTATAAACTGTGCACATATTATTTAAAATACTAATTTTATTTATAATAAATTTCTTTCTATAAATAATATTTACTTTATAGTTTAATTTATCCTAATGCATCAAACCCAAATATTTCTCTTTCAACTGGTTTTGATTTTGAAGGTGGGGCAGATAATAATCCATCTATTAATGAAACCAATATTAACGAAAGGGCATGTATTTTAGTAGAGATCATTCAACAAAGAGCAGCACTTTATCGTCATAATAATGTACTATTACCTTTTGGTAAGTATTTATATTATAATAAAAGCATTTAATCTATACTAATAATTTTATAAAATAGGCAATGATTTTAGATACCAAAATGCAACTTTAGAATTTTCAAATATGGATAAATTAATCGAATATATTAATGCAAACTCATCCTTTGGTGTAAACCTTCAATATGGAACATTGAATGAATATTTTGAAGAGGTGTTTAAAGAGACTGATAACTCAACAAAAATATTCCCAGAGTTGGTAGCAACTGACTATTTTGTTTATACAATGTGTCTTTCAGTAGACTATCAAAACTTCAACACTTGTGCTAATTGGTGGAGTGGCTACTATACATCATATCCATTGTTAAAGGGTACCGTTAGGGAGTCAGACTCAATACTAAGAGTTGGTGAAATGTTATATGCTCTTGCTTCTGCATATGATATAGGATTTGGTAGCGACTTTGACTTTAATATTGGTTTCTACGCTTTAGATTTTCATAGAAATGTAAGTGGTATTCTAACCCATCACGATGCAACAACTGGTACAGCAAAGGCTTATGTAAGAGAAAATTACTTTGAAATGCTCTATGAAGCGGAATCGTTAACGATGAATTATAATGTACCACATTTTGTTGGGTATCTATTGGCTAATCAAACTATTAATAGAGATTACACAACAAATGCATCCTTAATGGCAGGAGCTCAAGTTGATGATATATTTGGTATATCTTTTACAAATAGTTTAGGATGGGACCGTAGTGAGTTCATTTCAATTGAAATGCCATCAAATATGAACGTTGCCGTTTATGACTCAAACTTTAACCCAATTGTATCACAGGTTGTTCAAAGACAAGATAAGGGTGGTAAATGGTATTTATTCTATCAAGTTGAAACTCCAGCATTGGGTATATCAACATATTTTGTTGTTGTTTTAGATATTGATGGTCAAATAACCAATCCAGATTTATTAAGCTTTATTTCAACAAATGAAAAATTTACCCCAATAGTATCAGAAACTACTTTTTCCCAATCAATTGATTATGATGATAGCATCTCAAGCAAACCAGTGGTATCCATTGGAAATTTATTGTACAATTTAAATTTCAATTTCGATGCAAATAACAACAACTTGTTAACATTAAAGAGCTATGATGATTTATTAAGAGGTCAAATGGCTATCCCATTGTCTCAACAATTTATAGAGTATACAAGTATGAGTGATGATGCATACAAATTTAGACCAACTGGACTACCAATTAGTTTAACACCAATTAATCCACAATTTTATCTTACAAGCGGCCCAATAGTTCAATTAGTTACTATAATTTACAACAATAACTGCTCACAAACTTTCTTTGTTTATAACTCAACAACTACTAATGGACACTCATCGACAAATAATTCATTAATCTCAGAAAATCAATTCTTTGAAATCGATAACATTGTAGCATCAGGATGGGATAAGGAAATAGCTATTAGATTTACATCATCAATTCAAAATTCAAACAAATTCTATACAAATAATGGTTTGGAAGTTATGAAAAGAGAATATCAAATAAGATGGAATGATACACTTCCATGGAGTGAAATTGCCGGTAACTTTTTCCCAGTGGTCAATACCGGTTACATTGTCGATGAATATAATCAATTAACACTATTAACCAAACAAACAGTTGCTGGAAGTAGTCAAGGCGAAGGTTTATTTGAATTATTATTAATTAGAAGATCAAACTACACACAATGGAGTGTTCATGAACCAATGAATGACACATCAAATCCAACAATTAAAGTAAGGGTATTATTTGGAGATCCAAATAGAATTGAACAAATTAGAACACCACATTCTTTATTATTCGAAAATCCATTATTACCAGTATTTACTCAAATTAATGAAATTGGTATTGAAAAATGGTTATCACTTTACAATACGGTATTTAAACCATTAAAAGGTAAATATTAATAATTGCTTTTTATTTTATATCATTTTACTAATACTTTTAATTTAATTTTTTTATAATTATCTGCAGCTTCACTACCTTATAATCTTCATTTATTAACAATGACAAAACAATGGATGGATAGTTCTGTAAATATATTTAGGGCAATAAATATATATGAACTTGGTCAGAGCAACGATTTTTCACAACCTGTCAACCTTTCTCTTCAAGAACTTCTTGGTAACTTCAATGTCAGTAATATAGTTGAAACATCATTGTCTGCAAATAATGTAATATCAAGTGAAAAGAGCAATTCAATTATAACTTTAAACCCATTACAATTAAAAACCTATCTTTTAAATTTAAATTCAAAATAGTTAATTTTTATAATGTAAAAAAAAAAAAAATCTTTCTATTACAAGAATTGTTTTAAAAACCTAATGTATAAATATTAAATAAAAATAAATCTTTATAAAACAAATTTTTTGTATTTTTTTTTTTTATATATATTATCTATTTAGTAAAAAATAATAGTGGACTTGGGATACAATGAAAAAATTATATTCTGGTATGTGGGGTAAAGCAATGTGTGGTGGGGTTGTGGTTATCTGTCTAAAAAAAAAAATTAGTTTTTTTTAAGGAGACTGGGTGGAAAGTAAAGAATCTTCTAATAGTAACAGTGTTATACCAGTAATATTGTATTTTGTATTTTTCTTTAAGAATTATATTTATTTAATTCTTTTTTTTTTATTTTTTTTTTTTGCATATGATTTATATTTATATTTAGAAAAAAAAAATATATATTTTTTATTATTTATTTTTTTTAAACAATATTAGAATGGATAATAATATTAATAATAAAATCAAACTTTATAAATTAAATAATGAATTCGTAGAGGTTAGAATAGGAAATAATTTAAAAGATATATCAATTTCAATAATTAAATATTTTATTAAAAATGAAATTATTTATTTGGAAATTGAAAATATTTTTTTAGATTTTTCTTTCAGAAAAAATAATTTTGACCAAAATGATAGAACACCACCAACCAATATCAACAATAAAGATAATTATGATATAAATAATAAAAATAATAAAATTAATTTTTATAGAGAAATTACAAAATTTTCATTTGTAGAATTCAAACACTGTTTAATCAATATTTTTATTAAAATCAAAGAAGTAAATCATAATAATAATAGTAATAATAATAATAATAATAGTGATTGCCAGAGTTTGAATTGTGAAAATAATAAAAATAATTATAATTTTATAGAATTAAAACCAAATGTGACTGATAATAGCATTAATTTAATTTATTTTAATAATTATAATTTTAAAAATGACATTTTTTCATGCCAAAGGTTTGTGTAAAATTTTTGTAATATTTTTTTTAAAATATCTTGATTCTTTTCAGTTCCATGACATAAAAAAAAATAAAAATAAAAATAAAATAACTTTTCCTTTTTTTTCTTTTTTTTTTTTAAATTTTTGTTTTTTTATAAAATTTGTTTTTTTTTTTTTTTAAAAAATTAATACATAACCACAACCACCAACATTAACACCAACAACACCATAATAATAAGACACTGCCTAATCATATTAAAACCATATTATTAATTATATAAATTATATAATTAAAACGGTTTTTTAATAAAAAAAATATAAAAAATATAAAAAATATAAAAAAGTTATCAAAATATATTTATTAATAATATTTATAAAATAGAAATAGTTTAGATAAACAAATTTTATATTTGATAAATAATAAAGGTATAGAAATAAAATCAATTATGTTTGGTAAAGAAAAAATTGTTGGGGAAGAAGAAGATGAAACACCATTATTAAAAGAATCATCATACCTTACTATTAATGAAAATGAAATTGTAACAGCAAGCAGCAGCAATAGCAGTAGCGGTGACCACAATGAATCAAAACTATCATTGTTTTTATTTTTAAATGTGTGTTTTTCAGTATTAAGCACATTACAATTTGGTTATAATACAGGTATATATCGAAAATAAAGTTTATTAATAATAACAATAATTAACAATTTATAAGTATACTAATCTAAAGTTAATATCTCTTAAATAATAATAATAATAATAATAGGTGTTATTTCACCAACCATTGTAGAAATCCAAAAATTATTAAATTTAGATTTAAATCAAAAATCAATATTGGTGTCATCAGTATTATTTGGAGCTATGGCAGGATCTTTTTCAAGTGCATTTTTTGTAGATAGAATTGGTAGAAAATGGTCATTATTAATAAACAATTTCTTTTATATATTGGGTCCATTTCTTTGTTCAATTGGAAAAAACTATGTTACTCTATTATTTGGTCGTTTAATAACAGGTTTTGGTGTAGGTGTAGCATCGTCTGTCGTACCATTGTATATTGGAGAGATATCACCAACATCACTTAGAGGTGCATTAGGTTTACTCAGACAAAGTACAGTAACATTTGGTATCATGTTATCATCATTAGTAGCATACGGTTTAATAGTTTACTCGGACGGCTGGAGATATACATTTGCAATTGCAGCAGCACCATCACTCATTCAAATGGTACTCTCTTATTGGTTTGTAGAGACACCAAGATACTTAATATCAAAGAATAAAGCACAGGAAGCCAAGGTTATAATTAAAAAGATTGAACCACATCTTTCTGAACAACAAATCGATATGCAGGTATCTAAAATCAAGCAATCGATCAATGAACAAAAAGGAAGTGATGATAGTTGGTTACAGCTCTTCCAAATTCAGTACATCAAAATCTATATTATAGCATTTGGTTTGAACATGCTCCAACAACTAGTTGGTATAAACTGTGTTATTTACTATAGTACCATTATCCTTCAAGATGCAGGCTTTGTTAAAAATACTGCAGTACTCATTTCAGCATTGGTTGGAATACCCCAGCTAATTATGCTTTTGATATCAGTATGGCTTATTGACCGTTTTGGAAGAAAACCCCTCTTAATTTATGGTTTAATTGGTATGATTGTTGGTATGGGTATTTTAGGTTATCCATTCTATAACAATTCTTCGTCTACTGGTGTATTCGATAACAAAGCAAAAGGCTGGGTAGCTGTAGCTGGTATGATTTTCTTCAAGTTAATGTTTTCGGTTGGTCTTGGCCCAATACCAACCATTATTACCTCTGAAATCATTCCTTCAAAAATTAGAGGTAAAGCAATGGCAATCTCCCAACTTTTAAATTGGTTAGGTAATTGTATCGTTAATATAATGTATTTACATATGGTTGACTCCCCATTAGGTCAAGCCGGTACTTTTTGGTTCTTTGGTGGCATCAGTTTAATAACCTTACTATTTGTAATATTCTTGGTACCCGAAACTAAAGGTATTTCAATCGAAGAACTATCAAAGAAATTATTGTATATCAAAAACAAGTAACTTATAAAATCTAAAAAACAATATATATTATACTATTTATAGTATATATCCCAGATCTTTTTTTTATTTTTTTTTTATTTTTTTCCTTTTTAAAAGCAATAAAACTATTCAATACTTTTATAGTGCTATTATTACCATAATAATACCATTGTAATAATATTTTTGCAAATTTTAAAAAAAATATCCTTATTCTACTTTTCTTTGAATGAAATCTTGTTTAATAAAATTTTTTTTAAAAAAATAAAAAAATAAATAAAAAAATAGTTTATTATTTATTTTTTTTTGTAATTTTTTTTTTTGTAATTTTTTTATAAAAACGAATTTTTTTTTAATGATACATAATTTTTATATTAGTATTATTTAAATAATATAGTTGTTTAATAGTATTTTATATATTTGTAGAGTAATTTTAATATATTTATAAAAAAAATAAAAATATAAAAAAATAATAAAAAAATAAAAAAATAAAAAAATGGAGGTTACAAGCAACATTCTAGATATTAGTGATGAAAATCATAATGAAAAAGATTACACAGAAAAATTCATTATTCAACTTAAAGAACAATTAGAAAAATCAAATAGAGAGAATAAAGAGCTATATGAAAAATATGAATCTTTAGTAAAAGCAATCAATAAAAAAAAATCTCAAATTTTAAAATGTAGAAATTCTTTAATTAGTCTTTTAGATAATGTTACAGTTATTGATAATAACAATATTAATGACAATAGTATTGATATTATAAATAATAATAATATTAATAATAATAATGGTTATAGTAATAATTATAGTAATTTGACAATAGTTGAAAAATTAAGCAATTCATCATCTACATCAACCCCAACTATTCTATCTAGATCTCCATCTCCTGAAACCATCACGACCAATTCTACACCATTAAAAAAAAATAAACCAATTATATTCCATGAAAATACAATAGATTTTTTTCAAAATAAAAAAAAGATCAATAATAACACTGAACATAACGATGATACTCAAATTAGAAATGTAAATTATAATATTTTAAAAAATGACAACAATCAAATCAATAATAACAACAATAATAATAATAATATAAATAACAATAATGGTAAAAGAAAATATTCCAGTGAAGATGAATCAGAAGAAGATGTAAATTTTTGTCAAAATGGTGAAAGAGATTTAAAAAAACAAAAGAGAACTATATGGACCGAGCAAGAGGAGGAACTTTTTAAAAATGTTTATCAACAATATGGAAGGAACTGGAAATTAATTCACTCACATTTTCAAAGCAAAACTTTGATGCAAGTTTCAACCCATGCAAAATATTTAATCAAAATTGGGAAATTAGAAAATATCCCAAGAATTAAAATCGACCAAAGTTTTAAAAATATTGATGATAATAGTAACAATAACAATATTGATATTAATAATAGCATTATTAATAATAATTTAAATAGTGATGAAATGAATAATATCATCATTAGTTCGTAAAATTTTAAATATAATAAATATAAATTTTTTTTTTTACTTAAACCCAAAAAAACTCGTATTTAAATAAAAAAAGAAAAATCCATAAATAATTCCATCAAAAAAGAAAAATAATTTTTAATTTTAAAATTTTTTTTTTTTTTTTTTTTTTTTTTTTTGATTTTTTTTTAAATTTTATATTTTAAACCATAAAATATATTTTATCTTTATATTTTTTTATCGATTTAAAATTAAATAATATAAATAATATTATTAGTTATACTAGACTATCAGTTTTACAGTTATAGTGTCGACAATATAATTTTATAAACTATAATAATATTACAATAAAAATAAGAAAAATAATAAAAATAAAATGACCGATAGATCACCTTTATTAGGAAACAATAATAATAATAATGATATTATTAGTAGACTAACACAATTCTTTGCTGATTTATCAGATTTTGAAAAATCAATAAGGGATTATGGCACAGGTCGTGATACTACTACATTTAGAGCCGCCATACATAAAAAGAAACTTGTTTTGGGTGAGGATCTTAAAATTATGACCCAACAAATAAAACAATTACCATCCTCAAAACTACAAAAATTCCAACAAGAAAAAATAATAAAGCAATTTAAAGAAGGTCAAATGAAATTTGAAGAACTTTTAAATTTAAGTAATAGAAAAGAAAATCAATCACAACCCATTACACCAATTCAAAATACTGATAGTGGCTATAACAATAATAACAACAATGGTGGATATGGATATAATAATAATAACAATAATAATAATAATAATTTTGGTAATAATAATAATAATAATAGAAATAATGGGTATGGTAATGTTAATACTAGAGGTGGCTTTGGTAATACATATCAACAAGAACAACCAACATATGATGACGATGTCGATAGATTAGAACAAGTATTGGAAGAGACAGATGATCAAGAATTTTATAATCGTATTGTAGACGAAAGAAATGCACAAACTAAAGAGTTGGTTAAAGAGGTCGCAATCATTAGTGATATTATGAAGGATATATCAGGTTTAGTTGAAGAACAACGTGTTATGCTCGAGCAAGCTGATGATAATGTTGGTAAGGCCGATATTGCAGTAGAAGATTCTGTTCAAGAGCTCGAAAAAGCATATGTATATAAAAGTTCCGCAAGAAAGAAAATTATAATTTTAATGGTTTGTTTAGGTTGCACATTTGCTGCTGTTGGTGTTTTCCTCGCTATTTATTATGGACTTATTAAAAAGAAGAAATAAAAAATAAACGATAATATTGTAATTTTATTATTTTTTTTTTAGTTTATATAACGAGTATTGCTTGCTTTTGTTTATTTTTATTTTATTTTATTTCATTTTTTTAGATACCCTATAAGAGTATAAACAGAAAGTATTAATAAAAAAAGAGGGGCAGAATTCGAAAGTCTTTATTATTATCAAAACTAAAAAAATTTAAGTTATGGGGGGTTTTACAATTGAAAAAAAAATAAAAGATAAAAAAATTGTTTAGCATTTTTTTTTACATCTTTTAGTAACATGCCCTTTAAAACAATTGTTTATATATTTTATTTTTTTTAATTTATTTTATTATAATTTAAATTTAATTTTTTTAATTTTCTATTTTTGAACATAACCCCCACACACTAACAATTTTTTCCCTCTAAAATTTTTTTTTTTTTTAATTAAAATTTTTTTTTTTAATTTAATAATTATTATTTTTATTTTTTTTATTTCAAAATTTTTTTTTGTTTTGTTGTATATAATAAATAATTTTATTTGTAATAGTTTAATATAATACTTTGTTATACAGTATATATATTAGTATTTTTTTATAAATAAATCCTTATAGTATGTTTTAATTTCTTAATGTTAATATTGTAAATAAAAAAAAACAAAACTGATCAACATATAATATATTTTAAAAATCATCACACATTTAAAAAAAATAAATAATAAATAAATAATTATATTAAATAATTATATTTATATAATAAAGAAACCAAAGAAATGACTTCTTCTGCTTTGACTTATCACCTTGTAAATAGTTTATATCCAAATAAAAAAGTAGAAATTGAAAAAGATAAAGAATTTGTAATTGGAAGGTAAATATGATAAAAATAGAAATAAAAATAAAATTATTAAGTATCGAATATTAATTTTCTTTTCTTTTTTTTTTAAAGCTCCTTTTCGTGTGATTATAGGGTTCAAAGTATTGGTGTTTCAAATAAACATATCGGTATTAAATTTGATAAAAATGGAAACCCATGTATCTCTAATCTTAGTAAAACAAACAAAACCTTTGTAAATGGCACACCAATAAATAGTAAAGGCCAACTATTAAGAGATGGTGATAAAATTAAACTCATTGACAAAGAGTTTATATTTTCAACAAATTCTTTACCATTAACTCCAAAGGCCCCAAATCTTTCTATAGTTCCATTAAGTGAAAAGGTATGCTTTATATTAATATTAATAATAATAATAATAATAATAATAATAATAATGATAATGATAATGCCCATTATATTTATTAGATATCTAATTTTTTTTTTTTTATTCAAAGAAATTACCTCTTCAAAATATTTCAAATATTATTGGCAATATTAATAGTAACAAACCATCCGAACCAACTACAGTCTCAAAGATTAATTTAACTTCAGCATTTTCAAAGAAAGTACTTCCACCTCCACCAAAATTTGATTCAAGTGAAGAGGAAAGTTTAGATGAAAAAATGTTATCTGATTTATCAGATTCTGCCGCTGATGATGAAAAAGAACAGGATAGTGCCGAAGATGAATACCATAGTGCCGAAGAAGACAATGGGTACGATGAATCCTTTAATGAGAGTGATTTGTTAACAACACCAAAAACACCAAAAACACCATCAACACCGTCAACACCATCAACACCATCAACACTTTTAAATAGTTCAATTTCAACACCACTCCACAGTACCAAATTCAATCAATATGTTTTTGCCACCCCAACTGCAATAGAAACTCCACTTCGTAGCATTTTAAAAACCTCAAGTAAAAAAGAACACCCAACAACAACTGTATCATTTGACCAATCCGTATTTAAAACTCCAATTCCATCAAGAAACTCCCATCATCAGCCAACCCCAATGCCACCAAGACAAATCCCCTCTACCAATATTACAAGCTCTTTAAAAACCCCCTTATCATCTTCAAATGATAACAATAGAATTCCACTTACAGCTAAAACCAATGAAAAAATTGGTTTTATGGATTTCGGTATTGAAACTCCATGGAAAACCCCAAAGTCCAAAGAATTTAATACACCCGAATCATATGATCTTAAAACTTTATTTTTATCAACTGAAAACACACCTGCAAATACTCCAACTAAAACTTCACAAGAACAATCAATTGAAGAAAAACCTCAACAACAACCAATTGAAGAATCACCATCTCAACAACAACCTCAATCAAGTGATGAAATTGAATCTCCACAAAAACCACTCTCTGAAGCAAATTCAATTTTTAATACACTCTTATCTAATGAACATGAAAAACAAATTCAAAAAGATGATTCAATGGAACAATCACAAGAAAATTATACCGATATCAAACAATTTGACTCTGAACATCAAGAATTTGGTTTTTCCTCTCAAAAAGAAGAGGAAGAAGAGGAAGAAGAGGAGGAAGAAGATATTGTTAAATTTGATGTTCCAACATTTGAAGATATAATAGACAAATTACCCCAGTTCAAACCTGTTTTTGAACCTGTTTATCACTCAGAGGAAGAAATGGAAGAAAATGAAGAGGCAGAGGGAGAAATAGAAGAGGAAGAGAATGAAAATAATGAATTTGATATCAATGAAGAAGAGGCAGAAGATGCAGAAGAGGAGGAAGAGGAAGAGGAAGAGGAAGAGGAAGAGGAAGAGGAAGAGGAAGAGGAAGAGGAAGAGGAAGAGGAAGAGGAGGAAGAGGGAGAGGAAGAGGAGGAGGAAGAAGAAGAAAATGGTAATGGTGAATTTGATATCTATGAAGAAGAGGCAGAAGAAAGTCAAGAAGAATATGAAAACCACGATAATGAAAAAACCAATTTTAGTAACAGTGGTTATAAAATCACTAGAATTTTTAATAACAAATCAAATAATTTTGGTTATAACGAAGAAATTGGCCAAGAGGTCAATAAACGTCTTCAAAGTAATAGAGTTACCAAAACTGTAATTAAATATATCAGAGTTCCAATCTTTTATATTCCAAATAGAACTAAATTTTCTACTCGTAGCAAAATCAATAGATTATTAAAGACCCACAATAGACCCTTCTCAAGTCAACAAAATGGCCACAATAGATCCTTTGAATCCACTAAAAGAAAATCCTCAATTGTTTTCAATAGCAATGAAAACTCTGATATTATCAACTTTGTCGACACTCCTGTAAAACCACAAAATCAAATTTCCGATACCGAGTCTGATATTTCTTTGGACTTTTTATATGAAAGAGAAGACCTTGAGGATGCTGAAGAAGAGTTTGAAGAAAACCATGAACCTGTACAAGAGGAGGAAGAATTAGAAGAGGAAGCCGAAGAGGAAGTTGAAGAGGAAATCAAAGAAGAAATCGAAGAAGATATCGAAGAAGAGCTTGAAGAAGAGCTTGAGGAAGAGGCTGAAGAAGAGTTTGAAGAAGATGCTGAAGAAGAGTTTGAAGAGGCTCAAGAAGAGATCAAAGATGAAGAGGAGGCTGATGAGGACTTTGAAGAGGCTGAAGAAGTTGATGGTGAGATCAAAGATGAAGAGGATGAAGAAGAATTTGAAGAGGATGAAAATGCTCATGAATTAGAAGAAAATGGATACTATGATAATATAGAAGAGGAAGCTGAAGAACCCGAAGAAGAAGCTGAAGAGCTCGAAGAGCTCGAAGAGGAAGCTGAAGAACTCGAGGAGGAAGCTGAAGAACTCGAGGAGGAAGTTGAAGAACTCGAGGAGGAAGCTGAAAAACTCGAAGAAGAAGCTGAAGATCATGAAGAGGAAATTGAAGATCATGAAGAGGAAATCGGAGAGTTTGAAGAGGAAATTGAGGAGGAAGCCAACCAATTCGACAAAGATCTTGAAGAGCAATATGATGAGGAGGTACTCGAAGAACAAGAAGAGAAAGTTGAGGAACAAGAGTATGAGGAGCAAGAAGAGGAATATGATAGTATTGCTGATGAAAATCAAAGATATGTTGAAGGCTATGGCAGTGAAGAAGAGATTACCGAAAAACCCATTTCATCTCCATTTGGCCAATCAAAAAAGAGAAAAGATCCACCAACATTATTAACAACACCATTAAAAGAATCACCATTTAAAAAATTAAAAGAATCTGATGAAGAAAAGCCAGCCAAAAAGAAAAGAAATCGTAAAAGATCTAAGAAATCAAAGGAATTAAAGGAATCAATGAAACAAAAAGAAGAAAAACCATTAGAGTTTGCAAGAGATGAATTGATTAGATTTGATGACGAGGAAGATGAAGAATTATCTGCTAAAAAGAAAGAAAAAAAAGAAAAGAAAGAAAAAAAAGAAAAGAAAGAAAAGAAAGAAAAGAAAGAAAAGAAAGAAATGAAAGAAATGAAAGAAATGAAAGAAATGAAAACTAATAAAGACAAATCAAAAGAAGAGGATGAAGATGTTCAATTGTTTACAGAGGAAAGCTCAAAACCAAAGAGAACACATAGATCAAAGAAATCAAAAAAGATAATCGATGAAGAACAAGACGAACCAATTGTTGTAGATAAGAATCAAGAAAAGAAAAATAAGAAAAGAGGTTTGTTAGATAAAATCGAGCTCCAATTATCAGAATCTGAAGATGAAAAAGAAGTCTCATCTAAAAAGGAACCATCAAAATCAAAATCAAAATCAAAATCTAAATCTAAATCAAAAATCCAATTTGATGACTCTGAAACTGAATCTGAACAAGAACAAAAACAATCAAAAAAACAAAAAGGATCTAAAATTAGAGCCACCAGAACCTTTTAATTTAAATCCCCCAATTTTTAATCATCAACCATCATCATATAAACATTTTATAACAATTAAATTCATTTTTAATTGTTTTTTTAATCAGCTTTCTTATTAATTAGATTTATTAAGATTTATATAAATATTAAAATAAAAACAATATATATAATAAACTATTTTTATAACTAATAATATTCTAGACTATTTTTTTATTTTTTGTAAACTAATTATTTAATTTTTTTATTAATTTATGATTATATGTATATTTTATAATATTTTTAATTTACAATGTAATAACAATTTTACTTTAATTCTTCCTTTTTATAAAACCTTAATTGAATTTCACTATTAAAATATTTATATTTACAATTTGTATTAATTATTTTTCTTTAAACCAATAAATCTGAGGAAAAAAAAATATATTGTAAAAAAATATAATATCTGTATCTAAAAAAAAAGATAATTTTTTTATTACCACACCACAAAAAAAAATTTATATTTCCGCACTACCCCACCTTATTAACCATCTTTTTAAAAATATACCATATAAAGATCATCCAATAAAAAAAGTATTACTATTTTAAATTTATTTTAAAATTTGTATTTTTTAATTAATTGTAAATTAATATATAAAGAGGCAAAAAAAAAACTATTTAAATGCTATTTTTTTTTTTTTATTAATCATTAAATCAAGATTAATATATTCTAAATATCTTAAAACTAAAAAAAAAACTAAATTTTAAAAAATGAAATTCTTAGCTGTATTATGTTTAATTTTAATTGCTTTTGCTTTTGCCGCTGCAAATAATCACGGATGTAATAATCAACCATGTGGTAAAGGTAGAATTTGTCACACCTTAAGAGGTTTCTGTAGTTGCATTGAAATTCCACAATGCAAAGATGTTGAATTGGTATCTCAAGTCAAGAATAGATGGGAAACTGAAGGTAAAAGATTCACCCAATATGATGTTGAAATTAGAAACAATCTTGATATGGATATCACTCAAATCTACATCGGTACTGATGCTTCATTATCATTAAGAGACTATACATCAATCTGGAATGTAAACAGATTACCAAATGGTGAACTCACCTTACCAGGTTACCAACCATCTGTTAACAAAAACTCGTATGTATTTTAATTTATTGACTTTCATATTTTTTTTTAAATCATATATTAATTAACTTTAACATTTTAGATCCTACACTTTTGGTTTCATTATTAACGGTGATGTCAACCCAAGCCTTGAAATCTTAGCTGTCACATTCTAAATGATGCAAAAAAATGACATAATGCTTATGTCTTTTAGTTGCAACTTAAAAAAAAAAAAAAAAAACCTCATAAAAAATTTAGTAAAATTATAATTTATAATAAATCATCACCATTTTTAAAAAAAAAAAAAAAAAAAAAAATTTTATTTTATTTCTTTATACCCTTTTTATTAAAAATAGTCATTGAATTTGAAAAACTCAAAAAAAATATAAATTTTTATTTTTATTTTATTTTTTTTTTTTTTTGGACCTATTTTATTTAATCACAATTACAATTACTCTTTTAAAATGGGAAATTACAAAAATAAAAGTTTATAATTATTATATTTTACTATGAATAAAAAAATATTTTTAAAAGAAAGGGTATATTATATATAGAGTAATAAATAAAAGTTAAATAAATTAATAAAGCCAAAAAAAAAAAAAAATATATTAATTTACAAATCTTTCATCTCCACATTTTGATATACCAAAATATTTAATACCACTCTTTGACATGATAAAAAATAATTATTTTAATATTTTAAAATATCCACAATACCACACTTTTATACTATAATTTTTATACTATTTTAACCCCCATGAAATCTATAAAAAATTTAATAAACATTTAGTAAAATCTTGTATAATAATGGGATGGTTTATAATCATGTCTCAAAAATATAATAATAGTTATTTACATAAAACGCATGCATATATATATTTATATCCATTAATGTATTTATATCTCTATTTTATATAAATATATAAAAAAGGATATTGATTTTTTTTCTGATTACCTGTAAAATAAATATTTATTTTATTTTTTTATTTTTTTTTATTTATTTTTTTAATTTTATTAAAATTTTTTTTAATTAAATTAAAAAAATATAAAAAGGGAGTATTTTATTATTTTTAAATCATTAAATCATAAATTTATAAATTATATAAATTAAAACTTTAAAAACAAATATTCAAAAATGAAATTCTTAGCTGTATTATGTTTAATTTTAATTGCTTTTGCTTTTGCTGCTGCAAATAATCACGGATGTAATAATCAACCATGTGGCCAAGGTAGAATTTGTCACACCTTAAGAGGTTTCTGTAGCTGTGTTGAAATCCAAAAATGCAAAGATGTTGAATTATTTTCAAAGGTAAACTAACCATTTTAAATTGCATCAAAAACTATTTTTTTAAAAAAAAAAATTTTAACCCCTTTTTTTTTCTTCAATAGATTATGAATCAATGGGAAGTTGATGGCAAAGTCTTTACCCAATATGATGTTTCAATTTCAAACAATCTTGATGCTGATATCTCACAAATCTACATCGGTACTGATGCCTCATTAACATTAAGAGATTATGCTTCAATCTGGAATGTTAATAGATTACCAAATGGTGAACTCACCTTACCAGGTTACCAACCATCAATCAACAAAAACTCGTATGTATTATAATTCACTGATTTTAATATTTATAAATATTGTTTTATTAATTCCTATTTTAATATTTTACTTTAGAACCTATACTTTTGGCTTCATCTTAAAAGGTAACACCAGTGCCAACCTTGCCATTTTAGCCACTGTTTTCAACTAAACTAAAAGATGCTACAAATCTAACAAAATCTGGAAAATAAGAATGAAAAAAAAAACATAAAAATTATATGTTTATTTATATAAAAAAAAAAAATAAAAACCAAATTTAAATTATTATTATTATTACTAAAAATATATGTTTTTTATTTTTTATTAAAGTTAATTTTAAATTAAATTAAATTTTAAAAAAGAAAAAAGAAAATGAGAAAAAAAAAAAAAAAAAAAAAAAAAAACCGAACACCCTCGGTTTTTAAAAAATTTTATTTTTTATTTTTTTTTATTTTTAAACACTTTTTTTTTTTTTTTTTTAAATTTTTCTAAATTATTTTGATACTTTAGTAATATCATATACATTGATTTATTTGTTGTTATTAATTTAATTATATAAATAATATTGTCGTGTGTATGTTATTTTAAAGTCTTAAAACACTATATATACATATTATAAAATGGAACACAGACACAGATCAGGTGATTTAAAACAACAAAATAAATCATTCAAGGCTGGTAAACATGATAGCAAAGGTGCTATCAAGAGAAGAGCTCAAGGTAAAATTGAAACCAATGCAAGACAATCAATTAAAAACTTGGCACAAATCAGCACTAAAGAGCAAATGAAAAATAAAAATCAAAAATTATCTCAATCTAAAAAGATGGAATTATTAGAAAGAAAAAGATTAGGTTTACCAGACATTGTAGCACCACGTGTTGTTGTAAATATCATTATAAATAGAAATAGTCAATATTATTATCACTATCACTATCATATATATATACTAATATTATTTTCTTGCTTTATACACAAATAAATAACAGAGTATTATTAAATTATCTCAAGGATGTGATACTTCAAAGATTAGAGAAATGTTATTAAATAAATTTAAAATCATCACCAATGAAAATGGTATGGAAGTAGAAACAGCAGTTAAAGATGAAAACCAATTTCCAACTGTATCAATCACAAGTAAAGTTAGAATGATGTTATTAGAATGTCCATCAATGGAATATGATCAAGTTATTGAATATTGTAAATTATCAGATATTATTTTATTTGTTGTCGATGCAAATCAAGAAAAGTTAAATTCAGAAGCTGAACGTATATTTTCAATTGTTAAAGCACAAGCAGTACCAACAGTTATGGAATTAATTCAAAACCTTGATCTTGTACCACAAAAGAAAAAGAATGATGTAAAGAAATCAATTCAATCAGTATTCCACTTCCACTTCCCAGACGAACCAAAAGTATTACCAATCGATACTGTTGATGAATGCAATCAAGTTTTAAGATATATCGAAAATATTCACGTCAATGAAATCATTTGGAGAAAAGTTCGTCCATACTTATTAATTGAAAAAGCATCCTATATAGAAGATACCAAAACCGTTACAATTGATGGATTTTTAAGAGGAAATAATTTATCTGCCAAACAAATCATTCATATACCAGATTTCGGTGACTTCCAAATTTCAAAAATCGAATCAATCGAAGATCCACACATTCGTAGAAAATCATATTATAGCAGCGGCAACAACTCGTCAATGGATCAAGATTCAAAAACCAATGTTTTAGACTCTAGTGAACCAAATGAAAGAGATACCCTTCAAACTTGGAATGTACCAGACCCATTAGATGCAGAGCAATCTCTTCCAACCGAAGAAGAAATTGAACAAAGCAAGAAAAAGAAATTAGTACCAAAAGGTACCTCATCATACCAATCATCTTGGTATTTAGATAACGATGAAGAAGAAGAGAATTTTGAAAATGAAAACATGGATGGTGATGACGATATGATGAATGAAGAACCAGAACAAGAAGAAGAAGAAGAAGAGGAAGAAGAAAATGATATGATTGATGGCGATGATGGTGACGATGAACCAGATGAATTAGTCGAAGTTAAAGAATCAAATAAATGGAAAGGTATTAAACACAAGCATCAAATTACTGATGATTTATTAAAATCTGATGATGAAGATGACGAAAAATCTGAAAACGAAGACGAAGAAATTCAAGATGAAGATGAACGTAAAAGATTACAAGATGACGAAATGTTATATCCAGACGAAGTCGATACACCAGGTAATGTACCATCACGTGTTAGATTTTCAAGATATAGAGGTTTAAAATCATTCCGTTCATCACCATGGGATCCAAAAGAAAATCTTCCAATCGATTATGCTAAAATTTTCCAATTCCACTCATTCAATCAATCAATGAAAGCTAGTGTTACTATCCTTCAAAAAGCACCAGTTAAACCAGATATGTATGTTAGAATTCACCTTGTCAACGGTCCAAAAGAATTAACAGAACGTGAAATTACATCAACCTCAATTCCAGCTGTTGCTGTTGGTCTTTACCGTTATGAAAACAAAGTTTCACTTTTACACTTTAGCATTGAAAAACATAAATCATTCGAAGATACAGTTAAATCTAAAGACGAAGTTTTCTTCCATTTTGGATGGAGAAAATTCTCCACCAACCCAATTTACTCAATTAGTTCACCAAATTGCGATAAACAAAAATTCGAAAAATTCCTTTTACCAGGTAGAAATACAATGGCAACTATTTTTGGTCCAATCACATATCCACCAGCCCCACTTTTAATTTTCAATGGTAAAGAATGTAATGAATTAATCGCCACAGGTCATCTCTCAAGTGTTAATCCAGATCGTATTATTTGTAAACGTATCATCTTAACTGGTGTTGTAGCCAAATCACTCTCAAAGAAATTCGTTACTGTTAAAGATATGTTTTATTACCCAGAAGATATCAATTGGTTCAAAAAGATCGAACTTTATACTAAAATGGGTCGTATTGGTCATATTAAAGAACCACTTGGTACTCATGGTCGTATGAAGTGTATTTTCGATGGTACAATGCATCAACAAGATACAATTTGTATGAATTTATATAAAAGAGTTTATCCAAAATGGATAGATGAAAATTCAAATTTATTAAGATTGGAATAAAACATAAGATAAAATAAAAAAAAAATAAAAAAAAAAAAACTATTTAAAAAAATAAAATAATAAAAAACATATAATAAAAAAAAAAAAAAGAAAGGAAAACCAATTATATTTTGCTATTTTCAAAAAAGTTATTATATATCTTGGCTTCATAACTATTAAATTAATATTTTATTTGAAAATTTAATTTTTCATTCCACCCCACTCATGTGCTATTTTAAATTTTAATGAATCGGGGTTTAATTTTATTAATTATTTTTAATTTATTTATTTTTATTTATCCATTTGGGGGTATTTTCATTAATTTTTTCAATTGTTTAATTTCCCAAAAAAAAAATAAAAAAAAAAAAAAAAAAAATAATATAAAAAAAAAAAAAAAGAAACAATTTGTGTATATAAAGAGCAATATTTTTGATATTATAATAATTTGTTTTTGAAAAAATTAAAAAAAAAAAAAATTAAAAAAAAAAAATTAAAAAAAAAAAATTAAAAAAAAAAATTAAAATTTTTTAACATTTTTTTTTTTTTTAATTTTTTATAATATTTTTTTAAGTGTGTTTCAACCTAACTTATTTATAATATAAATTATATAAAAAAAAAAAAAGAAAGGAAAATATATCTATAGATATTTTCAAAACAATAATAATATTTTTATATAAATATATAATAATAAACAGTATATAATACAATATAATATTATAAGTGTATAAATAATATATTTATATAAACAATACATATCTTTTTTTTAATTAAACAAACAGAAACAAATTGTTGTAAAATAAAATAATAATGGATTCAAGCTTAGGCAGTGCTTACCCAGATGTAAATATCATTAATAATATTATTTAATCAATCATAATAATAATAATAATAATAATAATAATAATAATAATAATAATAATAATAATAATAAATCAAATAAACTTTTTTTAATAATAAAAATAATACAATAAAAAAAAATTTACTATATTTAAATAAATCAATTTCTCTATGGATAATATTATTTTTTAAAAAATAAAAAAATTATTTTAAAATTATTCAAATTATAATAATAAAGAATAATTATAATTATTAATTAATCTTTAATAAAATTTATTTTTATTTTTTTTAAAAAATTAATATTATTTTTATAAATATTTTTACATGTTATTATATTTAATATTAATCAAAAATTTTAATTAAAACCATAAACTAATAAAACTTTTTTTTTTTTTTTCTTTTATATTAATGATTTGCTTTATTAAATAATTATATTAAATTATTTAAATTAATTAATTATAAAATAATATTTAAATCAAATCTAATTAATCAAATTAAAATGATGAATCACCCAAATTCTCATTCAAATAATTCATCAATATCATTAACATCATCACAGGAACGTAGTGGTCCACCAGAAATTAGACCAGAAGAAATTAATTTTGAAGAGTTAATTGGTACAGGTAGTTTTGGTAAAGTTTACAAAGGTAGATGCAGACAAAAGGCTGTAGCTGTAAAATTATTACACAAACAAAATTTCGATGCTGCTACATTAAGTGCCTTTAGAAAAGAGGTTCATTTAATGAGTAAAATCTACCATCCAAATATTTGTCTTTTTATGGGTGCATGTACTATACCAGGTAGATGTGTTATTGTAACAGAATTGGTTCCAAAAGGAAATTTAGAAACACTTTTACACGATCAAAAAATTCAATTACCATTATATTTAAGAATGAGAAGTATGTATTAGAAAAAAAAATTTATTAGGATATGTGGATTTTATAATAAGAAATGGTTTACTAATATAATATTTATTTTTTTATTAATTTAGTGGCAAGAGATGCAGCACTTGGTATTAATTGGTTACATGAATCCAATCCAGTTTTTGTACATAGAGATATTAAATCATCAAATCTTTTAGTTGATGAAAATATGAGAGTTAAAAGTAAGTTTTTGTGCGTGGATACCAATTAAAAAAAAACATATACTAACTTTTGTTATTATTTTATTATAAATTTAGTTTGCGATTTTGGTCTTAGTGCATTAAAACAAAAACATAAAATGTTAAAAGATCAATCATCAGCCAAAGGAACACCATTATATATGGCACCAGAAGTTATGATGTTTAAAGAATTTAATGAATCAAGTGATGTTTATTCATTTGGTATTGTATTATGGGAAATTTTGACAAGAAAAGAACCATTTTCACACCACAGAGAATTAGAGAAATTTAGAGAAGCTGTTTGTGTTAAGCATGAACGTCCACAAATTCCACCAGAATGTTTAGATAGTTTAAGAAGATTAATTGAAAAATGTTGGGATAAAGACCCAGCAGCTCGTCCAACCTTTAAAGATATTATCAGTTCATTAGATCAAGTTATTATTGATGCTGCTATCTCTGATATCCAAGGTAGAGATTTTTGGAAAAAAAGTTTCCTTACCGAGCAAGAAGTCCCATGGGAAGCTTTCATTGATGCTCTTTGCACATGGTCAAAATCAGTAACACGTACTCAATGTGATAAAACTTCAATTGACTACTTAAATATTAAATGTTTAAAGGCTGTTCTCGCAGAATCACCAAAATCAGAAGGTACAGGTGTTGAAACTGTTGTAAACATTGAAAAGTTTGGTAAAATTCTCGAATTCTTTGGACCAGTACCAGAGCCAGCACCAGGTCGTTCAATTATGGATACTATTAGAGAAATTCTTTCAACAAAATGGTTCCATGGTGATCTCGATACTACCGAAGCTGCCTCCCGTCTCAATGGTCAACCAGTTGGATCTTTCCTTATTCGTTTCAGTTCAACCAATGCCGGTTGTTTCACCATCTCACAAGTTGTCGAAGGTGGTTCAATTAAACATCAAAGAGTTTCAAGACAAGGTTCTAAATTTGTTTACCAAAATGTTATCTACAACAACTTAATCGAAATTGTCACTAAAAATGGTGGTGGCACAAATGGTGACGTTAAACTCGATGCTGCTTTTGGTGTAACCAATTATAAATTCTTAGCATTATTCTGTGTTGTATCAAAAGAATCTGAAGTTTATGGTTAAAATAATAAATAATAATAATAATAATAATAATAATAATAATAATAATAGTTAATAAAATAAATAGTAATAATAAAATATTTTTTTTCAATTATATAAATTATAATTTAAATCATTAAAACTCCATTTATAATAAAAATGTTATTTTTTTTTTTTTTTTTTTTTTAAAATCTATATTACAAAAACTAATAAGGTTTAAAATCTATTAATTAATTTTTTTTTTTTTTTTTAAGTTTATAGTTTATTTAATAATATTAAAAAAAATATAAACCGAATTGAGAAAAAAATAGAAATAAAAAATTGATATTGGTACTTTTTTTTTTTTTTTTTTTTTTATAATTCTATTTTATTTATTTAATTTTTATAGATAATTAAAATTTTTTATTAAATAATATTAAATAAAATACTATTAAATAAAATAATAAATATTATTTAATATTAAATATAAAATCTCTTTGTTTCCCACCAACACCACCAGCACCACCTCAACCTACATTCAGCAGTCTCACCCTAATATACACACACATGCTAAAGGTTAAATTTTATTTTATTTTTTTTAATTTTATTTTTTTTTTATTTTTTTTAAAAAAAAATTTTTTTAAAATTTTTTTATTTTATTTTTTTTTTTATTTTTTATTTTTTTCTTTAATACACCGTTTATCTTTTTTATTTATATACACAAAAATACATAATTAATAATCTATTTATTTTATTTTATTTTTTATTTATTTATATATTGTTTATTTTTTTTTTCTTTTTTAAAAAAATTATTTTCAATATAAATTTTGTGTAATTTTTTTTTCATATGTTATTTTTTTTTTAAAAAAATATAACAAATCAAGAAATTTTTCTTAACAAATAATAACATTAAACAAAACAACAAGTATTTTTTTTATTTTTATTTTTATTTTTTTGTTTTTTCTTTTCGTAAGGGTATATTATGATACTTGGTAGTGATAGTATAGATATATTAATAAGTAATAATAGTTGTATAGCTAATAGTAATAATCATAATAATAGTTATCGTGGTTACTTTTATTTCACATACAAATAGACAAATCGGAAAAATTCACCCAAAAATTTTTTTAATTTTTTTTTTTTTTAAAAACTTTGCATAAAAATTTAATTTTAAATAGTAAACAGTATTTTTTCAATCAATAAAATAATAAAAAACATGATTAATAATAGAAATAATAAAATGCAAAACAATAATAATAACAGTAATAGTATTAATAACAATAATAATAGTAGTGGTAATAATTGTGGTAATAAAACTAGTTGCAGTGAAATTGCAGATGATTTACCGCCTTCTAGTAATAACTATTATAATCAACAGCAACAACAACACCATTTCCAACCACTTTTGCAACAAAACAATAATATAAATAAAAAATCCCTTGGAGGTGACTTTGAAGCTCTTAATTATTTAAAAAAGAGACTATTAGAGGAGACATTTGATTTACCACATTCATCATACTCGTCTCATTCTCCACATTCTCCACATTCACCACATTCACCACATTCATCGTATTCATCGCATTCATCGCATTCATCACCAAACTCAACATCTCCATTATCGCTATCCTCTTCTTCTTTACCACATTCATTTAATGTAAATAGTTGCAATATTATTAACAATGGTAATAATAATAATAATAATAATAATAATAGTATGAATAGTAATACAACACCAAGTAATAGATTGTCACCAAAATTACCAGCTGATTCTCAATCAGAGAAAAAGAATTCCGAACAACATGCAAAACCAAAATTATTTAGTCATGGCTCAATTGAATCTTTACCATGCATTTCACAACCACATTACCCACATCCATTAGTCCCACCACAAAATTTAAATATTAATAATAACAATGGCAATAACCATAACAATAATAATAATAATAATAATAATATTCAAATTAAACCACAAGTATCATCGATTTCGACAAGTACATCATTTCAAGATTTACAACAACTTATTAAAAAAGCACAATCAAATGAAGCTTCTCACCCACTAAATGGTAGGTTTTTATTTTATTTTATTTTTATTTTTTTATTTTTTTATATACTAAATTTTCTCTTTCAATTAAAATAGAAAATCCATCGTGCCCAAAGTGTAATGTTCCTGCAACAAGAAGACACGACAAAAGAAGATGGTGGTGCAAACCATGCACAAAGTCATTCACCCCATTTAGAAAAGAGAAAAGATTATCAAATGATGAGCTTATAAGTAATGTTGCACCACAATGTGGCAGATGCTTGAACCAAGCTACAAGAAAGCATGACAAAAGAAGATGGTGGTGCAAGTTTTGTAAAAAACCATTCACTCCAAGTAAGTTTTTTTTATTTTTTTATTTTTTTTATTTTTATTCTTATTTTATTATAGAAATATATATTAATTTTAAAACTTTTTTAAAAATTTAGCTCATTTCAATTTAACTGAGCCGCAAAATATGATTTATGTAATGGGTGCACCTAAATTTGGAGTTCAAGCAAATCAAACAACCGTTGTAAACTCCAATCATCATGACACTATAAAATCATTATTAAATCCAGATAATGCCGATATCCCAGCCCCAAAGAAGCAAAAGCACAGTGATGATGAACACGACGAACATGCAGATGATGAACATGACGATTATGACCATGATGACGAACTAGAAATCGATGAACATGACTTGGATATTGATGATGAAATTCAAACTTTAAATAATTTAAATAAATTCAATAACATACAAGAATTAAAATCAAATATCAAGCAACAAAATAATCAACATTCACAAAATAATAATAATAATAATAATAACAATAGTAAAAATAATCATCCACATAATTTACATTACCATCATGAAAATACAAAACTTACAAATTGCTATGATATCATTGATAGTGATTTCATGAAGGAAGGTTATTTAAATAGTAGTCATGGTTCACATAAGAGTACTCCAAGTCTTTCTCCATTAAATTCTTCTCCATCCCATCCATCTAGTTCCACAACAAATAAACAACATTACTTGCCACAAACCAAAACAACAACAAATAATAACGAAAAAGATAAAATAGAAAGAGACATTGTTGGTGTTAGTTCAATAACTGAAAGTATTAATATTAATTTTGATCAGTTACACAGATTAAGCAAACAAAATCAACATAACAATAATATTAATAATAGCAGTAATAGTAATTTTAAAAGATCAAAAACTCCAAGCGAATTAATTCTAGATAACTCAATCGAAACTATTCTTCAATTAAATGGTCAAGAAAAAACCCCTGGTATTATTTTAGATTGGTTTGAACATAGCCACCCAGAAATTTTTGAAAAAATGATTTCAATTATAAACAGTAATAATAAATTTAAATTAACTGCCAGCAAATAAAAACAATAATAAAAATTTAAAAAAAAAAAAAAAAGAAAAATTTATTTTTCTTATGTAATTTACATATTCCACATAAACTTAAAAGTAATACTATTTACTTTTGTTTTTTATTTATTTTTTTAAACTTGATATTTATTTGAAATTATTAATAAAATCCATATGGTATGGATCTAAATCTAGTTTCCTTTTTAGTGACCAATAACCAGATATGTGAAAGTTTGCTAGTCCATTTTCAAAGAGATGAGGGTAATGAGACAGATTCATTCCTACTTTTTTCTTCCATGTCTTTTTATCTTTGAAACAAATTAAATCCCAATGCCTATCAATATATTTATAAATAGTTTGAAGTTTAAAATATCTTACCCCTTTCGAAACTACACAAAATGTTGGCTTTTCTGTTTTCTCTAAAATCTCGCATGATTTACAAAATGCATATAAAACCAAATATAAAATATGTGTCCTATTAATAAAAAAAAAAATTTTAATAACGTGATCTTTATTTTTTTAATTAATTTAAAAATAATTACCAAAAAGGATTAACCAATTTAAAACTTGGAGGGGTTCCTTTTTCACAAACCAAACAGTATGGAATATCACATCTATCTCCACTATTACAATTATTACCATTATTACTATTACTATTACTATTATTATTATTATTATTATTATTATTATTATTATTATTATTATTATTATTATTATTATTATTATTATTATTAAATTTGACATTATTGGTTCTGTTATTATCAAAAACATTGCCATCGTAATATTCATCTGTAAATTCTTCTTCATTGGTTGATCCTATTGAACTACCCAAATCGTCAAAAATTTGTGGGTTTTTCTCATTGGGACCAATTTTTTTTTGATTATTATTGTTATAGCCATTGCTATTATTATATTTAATATTATTATTATATTCAGTGTTATTATTATGTTCAGTATTATTATTATCAGTATTATTACTACTATTGTTGTAGCTATTATTTAAAAAACCATTTATAAAATATTTAATTTCTTTCAAATCTTTATCGGGGATAT